TTTGTGAGCTCCTCACACAATCCAGCTTATTCTTAGTTCTTTCGGTAAAGTCACGTTGAAGGGAAACAATAAAATAATAAAATAAATAAAACAATAAAAATTCTCACGACGTTTCGACCATAACACAAACGGTCGTCATCAGGTGTGTCGGTTTGCATAAGTTTATTTATTTTTAAACGGTGTATTTGTCTATTTATTTATTTTAAAAAACCGCCAGCGCCACGCGCAGCGATTTGGCAGTTTATTTAGAAGGACTAGTCCATCTATGTTCTGAAAAGAGGAGGGGGAAGACGAAAAATGTAATGTATGCTGTCTGAAAGCCACTGTAAGCGTGAACAATCAATTAAGACCTGAAATGGTTAATCAAATCTTTCCAATGATTGCTAAGCCAGAATCCATCTTCTCGGTTGAAATTGTCTCTGTGCTTGTATATGTGGATAGCCTCATGAACGAATCTCTCATGGTAGCCAGATGGCTTACAAAGAACCACAGGATGGATCGTAGGCAGGCTAGCCTAAATGTTTCTAACCGGCGAAGATGTTCCATTAAGGGGGTCCACGTTTCGCAAGCGTAGAGAAGGGAGGGAATGACCGTGGCCGAGAAGACCTGAAGCTTAGTGCGGAGCGACAGACCAGGTAGCTTCCAGACAGCGTTAGGCAACCGATGAAAATATATTGCCGCTCGACTGATTCAGAGTGAGACCTCTGCTGTTAAACTGGAGCCTGTTATAAGCACACTGCCCAGGTATGGGAAACTCTCCACTCTCTCCACAACTGCCCAATCACCGATTGGGAGTTGTGGGGGTGGAGTGTCCGATGGTACAAAATACCCAGGCAGGTGCTTAGTTTTGGTGGGACTGATGGTAAGGCCCCATCTCTTAGTGGCACGCTCCAGTCTCAGCAGCAGCGTCTCCAACTCCCCCTCTGAATGAGCAGCTATTACCAAATCATCGGCATACATAACATGGTTGAGCAATAGGGAGCCATCCCTTTACCGCACCAGGGCATCGATCAGCCTCCCATTATATCTGTACAAAATGGACTACGTGGTTAAAATAGATGTTAAATAATGTGGGAGCCAGAGGACATCCCTGTCGCACCCCAAGGTGTACAGGGAATGGCTCTGACTCCCGGCCACGTAGTTTTACCCAGGCCCGCTCACCATGATGAAGATCCTTAATGATCGTGAGCAGAGGGTCAGGGACTCCAAAAGTACGAATAACAACCCAGAGCCCAGGCCTAATGATGGTATCATAGGCCTTGACCATGTCAATAAAGCAGAGATGTAGGTCTTGCTGGAATTCCCTACACCTCTGCTGTAGCAGACGGACAGACACTCACATATTCATTCACAGTACACACAGACACTCACATACTCACAGTACACACAGAGACTTATATACTCGCAGTACACACAGACACTCACATACTCACTCACAGTACACACAGAGACTCACTCACGGTATACACAGACACTCACATACAGTACACACAGAGACTAAGATACTCACTCACTGTACACACAGAGACTCACATACTCACAGTACCACACAGACACTCACGGACTCACAGTACACACAGACACTCACATACTCACAGTACCACACAGACACTCACAGACTCACTCACAGTACACACAGAGACTCACATACTCACTCACAGTACACACAGAGACTCACATACTCAATCACACTACACACAGACACTCACGGACTCACAGTACACACAGAGACTCACATACTCACTCACAGTACACACAGAGACTTACATACTCACAGTACACACAGACACTCACATACTCACAGTACACACAGACACTCACATACTCACAGTACACACAGACACTCACATACTCACAGTACACACAGAGACTTATATACTCACAGTACACACAGACACTCACATACTCACTCACAGTACACACAGAGACTCACTCACAGTATACACAGACACTCACATACAGTACACACAGAGACTAAGATACTCACTGTACACACAGAGACTCACATACTCACTCACAGTACCACACAGACACTCACGGACTCACAGTACACACAGAGACTCACATACTCACTCACAGTACACACAGACACTCACGGACTCACTCACAGAGACACTCACATACTCACTCACAGTACACACAGAGACTCACATACTCACTCACAGTACACACAGCGACTCACATACTCACTCACAGTACACACAGACATTCACATACTCACAGTACACAGACACTCACGGACTCACAGAGACACTCACATACTCACAGTACACACAGAGACTCACATACTCACTCACAGTACACACAGACACTCACATACTCACTCACAGTACACACAGAGACTCACATACTCACAGTACACACAGACACTCACATACTCACAGTACACATATACACTCACGAACTCACAGTACACACAGACACTCACATACTCACTCACAGTACACACAGACACTCACGGACTCACTCACAGAGACACTCACATACTCACTCACAGTACACACAGAGACTCACATACTCACAGTACACACACTCACGGACTCACTCACAGAGACATGTCTGTGTATTCATCCTCCTCCTCTCTCCCACACATACAATCACGGACATACAGATTCTCAGCACAAAGACATCTACACACAGGGCAACACACACAAACACTCACAACATCGACTTACACACTCCTACATAAAGGCAAAGATCCCCCGTGTAGCCCACACAGACTGTTTGGGCAAAGAATGCCGGCGCGTCACACGAGGGGTGAGTGGTGACAGCACCACTCCCAGCCGCCTTTGTCTCCACAATGTGTTACGCACCACACGAGGTACACATGTCAAGGCCGAGTAGACCTAGGGGAGGCCAGTGACCGATTCAGACATCATCAATCGCCACTGATGTTGGCCGTGAGCGGGTAATCAAACTTGGGTCGCCGGGTTCGTAGCGCATCGCGCTAACCGCTGCGCCACCGCTCCCCACTCACTCTCTCTGCACCCCCCCCCACACACTTCGTTTGCACCGCCCCCCTCCCATTGAGACCCCGAACCCCCAACCCCTGTCTCAGCCAATGGGAGCAGAGCACGGAGCCCCCCCCCCCTCTACCTTCCTTCACCCCCCCCCCCCTTCACCAGCGGAACGGGCCGAAAGTAAGGGTCGCACTTTATAAAAAGGAATCACCGCTCGACCACTCGATCTCCCGTCCAGCAGCCATCCTCACTCCTCCCTCCCGTCAGTCACCCCCCCTCCTCCCTCCCTCCCTCCTTCCTCTCCACGACTCCCTCACTCTCTCCCATTCATCATCCTTTCATCCCTCCCTCACTCCCTCATCCCCTTTGTACCCCCCTCCATCACTCCCCTGCATCGTCACTCCCTCCATCCCTATCCGCCTCCCCTCCCTCTCTCCCATTCATCATCGTCCCTTCTTCCTATCCATCTATCCCTCCCTCCATCCCTTTCCTCCATCATTTCTCCCTAACCTTATTCCATATATTGCTTGCATGGGTGGTTGGGTGCGTGATTTCATTTTTGAGTGAGTGGATAAGTGAGTGAGTGCGTGGATGGATGAACGGCAGGGTGAGTGGCTGGGTGAGTGTTTGAGTGAGTGAGTGAGTGGATGGATGAGCGGCAGGGTGAGTGGCTGGGTGAGTGTTTGAGTGAGTGAGTGCGTGGATGGATGAGCGGCAGGGTGAGTGGCTGGTTGAGTGAGTGAGTGAGTGCGTGCATGGATGAGCGGCAGGGTGAGTGGCTGGGTGAGTGAGTGCGTAGATAGATGAGCGGCAGGGTGAGTGGCTGGGTGAGTGTTTGAGTGAATGCGTAGATGGATGAGCGGCAGGGTGAGTGGCTGGGTGAGTGTTTGAGTGAGTGAGTGCGTGGATGGATGAGCGGCAGGGTGAGTGGCTGGGTGAGTATTTGAATGAGTGAGTGCGTGGATGGATGAGCGGCAGGGTGTTTGACTGAGTGCGTGGATGGATTTGTGGTTGGGTGAGTGATTAAGTGAGTGCGTGCGTGGATGGATTTGTGGTTGGGTGAGTGAGTGCGTAGATGGATGAGTTGCAGGGTGAGTGGCTGGGCGAGTGAGTGAGTGCGTGGATGGATTTGTGGTTGGGTGAGTGTTTGAGTGAGTGAGTGGATGGATGAACAGCAGGGCGAGTGGCTGGGTGAGTGGTTGAGTGAGTGCGTGAATGGATGAGCGGCTGGGTGAGTGCTTGAGTGAGTGCGTGAATGGATGAGCGGCAGGGTGAGTGTTTGAGTGAGTGCGTGGATGGATTTGTGGTTGGGTGAGTGATTGAGTGAGTGCGTGGATGGATGAGCGGCAGGGTGAGTGTTTGAGTGAGTGCGTGGATGGATTTGTGGTTGGGTGAGTGTTTGAGTGAGTGCGTGGATGGATGAGCGGCAGGGTGAGTGTTTGAGTGAGTGCGTGGATGGATTTGTGGTTTGGTGAGCGTTTGAGTGAGTGAGTGCATGGATGGATTTGTAGTTGGGTGAGTGATTGAGTGAGTGAGTGCGTGGATGGATGAGCGGCAGGGTGAGTGTTTGAGTGAGTGCGTGGATGGATTTGTGGTTGGGTGAGTGTTTGAGTGAGTGAGTGCGTGGATGGATTTGTGGTTGGGTGAGTGTTTGAGTGAGTGAGTGCGTGCGTGGATGGATGAGCGGCAGGGTGAGTCGCTGGGTGAGTGTTTGAGTGAGTGAGTGCGTGGATGCATTTGTGGTTGGGTGAGTGATTTTGGTGAGTGATTTTGGTGAGTGCTTGAGCGAGTGAGTACGTGGGATGGATGTGTCCATGGGCGCGTTTGTGAGTATCTGAGCGAGTGGAAGAGTGTGTGTGTGGTTGTTTGTGGATGTGCGATTGGATTTGCGAATCCGTGGGTGGGTGGGGAAAGAGAGGCGAGTGTGTGTGTGGTGGGTAGCGAGCGGTGGGCGTGTGTGTAGATTTCAGGATGGATGTGTGGGATGCAGGGTTGGGTAGATGGGTGGGATGGAGGGTTGAGTAGGTGGGTGGGTGGGTGTGTGAGTGGGGTGTGTGGTTGGGTATTATTGGTGAAACTTGCGTTGGGGGAAGAAAAAAAAATCTCGCAGGCAAAAAGAAATCCCCCACACATAACTTGGGCCGAGCCTCAATAGACCGTGTGCGGACACGAGGGGACACACACCACGCACCACGCACGCACGCACGCGTGGAGACAGAGAGGATCTGGGACGGGCGAGCAGAAGGAGGACTCAGCATTCGAGGATGGAGGATGAGGGAGGGCTAGGAGGGCGCTATACAATGGGTTAGGAGGAGTTGTGAAGCCAACACTTTCAGCCAAAGCGAATATTGACTGGCCGAAATGGTGGCATGGCGGCTGGCGGGGACAGCTAGGAGATCTTCAATCTCATCAACAGCACGGGGAGGTGGAGGAGGACACCGTGATCATCATCAGCAGCAGCATCAGCAGCAGGAGGAGGAGGCGGAGTGTAACCACGAGTCGGGGAAGCATGTCCGTGGAGGCGCGGCTGGGTGCGGGATGTGATGGGATGAGAGATCGGGTTGGGTCTCGACCAATACCGGATCGGGATCAGGATCGGAATCGGAGGATCAGAGACCGGGACCAGAGGATCAGGGACCGGGATCAGAGGATCAGGGACCGGGATCTTCTGGAACGCCCCAGCTACTGTGATGCCGAGTTCGCGCTCGAGCAGATAGCCAAGGTAGTAACGCGTGACGGTGGTGGTGGTGGTGGTTAGCTGGGAGATGGACATTCACACACACAGAGACGCACACGTGGTTGGACAGCTTGGACACTCAGCATCAGTAGATGGACGTGTGGGTGGACGGACAGACGTGGACAGGCTCGATGGAGAGAGATGGACACGGGGTCGTGTGAACGCACACAGATGGGGACCAATCGACTTGCAGATGAACCGACTGATGGACGTGCGGATGAGTTGAACGCGCACAGACCCTAGAGGGGTGGACGTAGAGACCGGGCAACGCGGAGAGACAGACGGACTGGGACATGGACGCATGCTGGAGCGCGTACAGAACACACACAGACATAACCACACACGCACAGACATAACCACACACACACAGACAACCACACACACACAGACATAACCACACACACACAGACATAACCACACACACACACAGACATAACCACACACACACAGACATAACCACACACACACAGACATAACCACACACAGACATAACCACACACACAGACATAACCACGCACACACAGACATAACCACGCACACACAAACATAACCACACACACACAGACATAACCACGCACACACAAACATAACCACACACACACAGACATAACCACACACAGACATAACCACACACACAAACATAATCACGCACACACAAACATAACCACACACACACAGACAACCACACACACACAGACATAACCACACACACAGACATAACCACGCACACACAGACATAACCACGCACACAGACATAACCACGCACACACAAACATAACCACACACACACAGACATAACCACGCACACACAAACATAACCACACACACACAGACATAACCACACACACACAGACATAACCACACACACACAGACATAACCACACACACAAACATAACCACGCACACACAAACATAACCACACACACACAGACATAACCACGCACACACAAACATAACCACACACACACAGACATAACCACACACACACACAGACATAACCACACACACAGACATAACCACACACACACAGACATAACCACACACACACAGACATAACCACACACACACAGACATAACCACACACACAGATATAACCACACACACAGACATAACCACACACACAGACATAACCACACACACACAGACATAACCACACACACACACAGACAACCACACACAGACATAACCACACACACACAGACATAACCACACACACACAGACAACCACACACACACAGACAACCACACACACACACAGACATAACCACACACACACAGACATAACCACGCACACACAAACACAACCACACACACAGACATAACCACACACACACAAACATAACCACACACACACACAGACATAACCACACACACACAAACATAACCACGCACGGGTAAACACACATGGCACGGGTAAACACACATGGCACGGAGATAAAAACACCAACACAGACGCACAGTTAAACGCGCACATCAACCCACACAGGACAAACACACAGAGGCACAGTGCGTGTTGTTAGTGTGTACTGTATACGCACTGTCCTGTGTAGTACTTTGCACGCGTACAGTATGTGCTGTGTGTTAAGTGTGTGTGTGTGTACATCTTGTGCTGTGTATATTGTACATGTGTGTACAGGATGTGATGTGTGTATTGTATATGCTGTGTGTTAGTTTGTGTGTGTGTGTGTACAGCATGTGTGTGTATTGTATTTGCTGTGTTAGTGTGTGTGTGTACATCATGTGTGTGTATTGTATATGCTGTGTTAGTGTGTGTGTGTACATCATGTGTGTGTGTATATTGTATATGCTGTGTTAGTGTGTGTGTGTACAGGATGTGTGTGTGTATTGTATATGCTGTGTGTTAGTTTGTGTGTGTGTACAGGATGTGTGTGTGTATTGTATATGCTGTGTGTTAGTTTGTGTGTGTGTACAGCATGTGTGTGTGTATTGTATATGCTGTGTGTTAGTTTGTGTGTGTACAGCATGTGTGTGTGTATTGTATATGTGTGTTAGTTTGTGTGTGTGTAGAGCATGTGTGTGTGTATTGTATATGATGTGTGTTAGTTTGTGTGTGTACAGCATGTGTGTGTGTGTATTGTATATATCCCGCTCACGGCCAACACCAGTGACGATTATCTGAACCGGTCCCGGGCCTCCCCTAGGTCGACTCAGCCTCAAATGAGTACCTGGTGCGGTGTGTAAACATTGCCACTAGGGAGACAAAGGCGGTCGGGCGTGGTGCTGGCCACCCACCCCCTCGAGTACCGTTCCGGCCTTCATAGGTGCTCGCTAACAGCACTTGCCCCTACAGTCTGTTAAGGCTATATGGGGGATCTTTTTGTCTTTGTTTTGTATATGCTGTGTGGTAGTTTGTGTTTGTACATCATGTGTGTGTGTATTGTATATGCTGTGTGTTAGTTTGTGTGTGTACAGCATGTGTGTGTGTATTGTATATGCTGTGTGTTAGTTTGTGTGTGTGTGTACAGCATGTGTGTGTGTATTGTATATGCTGTGTGTTAGTTTGTGTGTACATCATGTGATGTGTGTATTGTATATGCTGTGTGTTAGTTTGTGTGTGTATTGTATTTTCTGTGTGTTAGTTTGTGTGTACATCATGTGATGTGTGTATTGTATATGCTGTGTGTTAGTTTGTGTGTGTGTGTACATCATGTGTGTGTGTATTGTATATGCTGTGTGTTAGTTTGTGTGTGTACAGCATGTGTGTGTGTATTGTATATGCTGTGTGTTAGTTTGTGTGTGTGTACAGCATGTGTGTGTGTATTGTATATGCTGTGTGTTAGTTTGTGTGTGTACAGCATGTGTGTGTGTATTGTATATGCTGTGTGTTAGTTTGTGTGTGTACAGCATGTGTGTGTATTGTATATGCTGTTGTTAGTTTGTGTGTGTGTACAGCATGTGTTATTGTGTGCACTGTGTTGATGGTAATTATGTGCACTGTACTGTGCTGCTTATGCAGTGTATGGAATGTAAAGTTGTACAGTGCGTGTAATTGTGTGTATGTGTCGTCTTCGTGTGTGTCCCGTGCGTTGTGTTGCATGCATAATGTGTGTAATATTGTGTGTGGATCAGCACAGCGTGTGCATTGTGTCAGTGTTGTGTTCTGTAGTGTCTGCAATGTTGTGTTGGTTGGTGTCGTATGTGTAGGGAGTTGCATAGAGAAGCGTGTTGTGTTTATCGCAGTGTTATGGTTTGAGACGAGTACAGTATGTGTAGGGGTGCCAGTGTGTGTTGTGTCAAGTAGAGTGTGTGTGTCACGTATGTACACAATGGTGTAGGTCTTAGGTGTGTGAACTGTGTGTGTATATACTGTGGGTGTGTATATACTGTGTTGTGTGTGTGTATAATGTGTTGTGTGTGTATACTGTGTTGTGTGTGTATACTGTGTGTATACTGTGTTGTGTGTGTATACTGTGTGTATACTGTGTTGTGTGTGTGTATACTGTGTGTATACTGTGGTGTGTGTGTATACTGTGTGTATACTGTGTATGTATACTGTGTGTATGCTGTGGTGTGTATACTGTGTGTATACTGTGGTGTGTGTATACTGTGTTGTGTGAACTGTGTGTGTATACACATAGTATATACACAGTATACATATACACAGTTCACACACAACACAGTATACACACACAGTATACACACAGTATACACACACAACACAGTATATACACACACAGTTCACACACACACAGTTCACACACAGTATACACACACAGTTCACACACAGTATACACACACAACACAGTATACACACAGTATACACACACACAGTTCACACACACAGTATATATACACACACACAGTATACACACACACACACGTGCAGAGATACACTCACACACACGTGCAGAGATACACTCACACACACAGTATACACATTCACACACGTTCATAGATACACTCACACACACGTGCATAGATACACTCACACGTGCAGAGATACTCACACGTGCAGAGATACACTCACGCACACGTGCAAAGATACACTTGCACACACGTGCAGAGATACACTCACACACACGTGCATAGATACACTCACACACACGTGCAGAGATACTCACACGTGCAGAGATACACTCACACACGTGGATAGATACACTCACACACGTGCAGAGATACACTCACACACACGTGCAGAGATACACACACACACACGTGCAGAGATACACTCACACACACGTGCATAGATACACTCACACGTGCAGAGATACTCACGTGCAGAGATACATTCACACACACGTGCATAGATACACTCACACACACGTGCAGAGATACACTCACACACACGTGCAGAGATACACTCACACACACGTGCAGAGATACACTCACACACACGTGCATAGATACACTCACACGTGCAGAGATACTCACGTGCAGAGATACACTCACACACACGTGCAGATACTCACACACGTGCATAGATACACTCACACACACGTGCATAGATACACTCACACACACGTGCAGAGATACACTCACACACGTGCAGAGATACTCTCACACACACGTGCATAGATACACGCACACATGTGCAGAGATACACACACGTGCATAGATACACTCACACACACATGCAGAGATACACTCACACACACGTGCATAGATAAACTCACACGTGCATATATACTCACACACGTGCATAGATACACTCACACACACGTGCAGAGATACTCACACACGTGCAGAGATACTCACACACACGTGCAGAGATACTCACACGTGCAGAGATACTCACACGTGCAGAGATACTCACACGTGCAGAGATACACTCACACACACGTGCAGAGATACTCACACGTGCAGAGATACTCACACGTGCAGAGATACACTCACACACACGTGCAGAGATACTCACACACACGTGCAGAGATACTCACACACACACGTGCAGAGATACTCACACGTGCATAGATACACTCACACACACGTGCAGAGATACACGTGCAGAGATACTCACACGTGCAGAGATACACTCACACACACGTGCAGAGATACTCGCACACACGTGCAGAGATACACTCACACACACGCGCAGAGATACACACACACACGTGCAGAGATACACTCACACACACGTGCAGAGATACACTCACACACACGTGCAGAGATACACTCACACAGACGTGCATAGATACACTCACACACACACGTGCAGAGATACTCACACACACGTGCATAGATACACTCACACACGTGCAGAGATACACTCACACACACGTGCAGAGATACACTCACACACACGTGCATAGATGCACGCACACACGTGCAGAGATACTCACACACACGTGCAGAGATACACTCACACACACGTGCATAGATACACTCACACACACGTGCAGAGATACACTCACACACGTGCATAGATAAACTCACACACACGTGCAGAGATACTCACACACACGTGCATAGATACACTCACACACACGTGCATAGATACACTCACACACAGATATCCATTCATACTCCCACAACTCACACCCACACACGTTCATTCATACATTTACTCACGTGCATAATACACTCACGTAAACATACATCCATACACTCACACGTAGGGGAGACACTCCCACATATCTTTACCAATATTCACACGAACACACACACACATCGCTTATGCTCACTCACAGTATACCCTGTTGCCTTGTATGGACGAGTGCTGTTAGCGAGCACCTATTAGTCCCGCACTCAGCTCTGACACACACGTGCTTCCACACGCTTGCAACATGGGGTTGGTAATGTTGCTGGAGATGCTGCTGATAATGTTGTTGCTGATGCTGTTGATGGTGCAGCTGATGATGGTGATGTTGATCATGATTTTGTTTATTATGATGTGATGTATCTATATGTACGTATAACTTATTTTGTACCGTACGTAGCCAATCGTGCTGATCGCAGGTGCTGCTGATGATAATATCAATGCTGCTACTGATGATAATTTGTATGCAAATGTTAGTGATGATGGTAATGATGAAGCATAATGTGTTACTCTTGTAGTAGTATTTATTCTGCGTGTATCCCAGGAAAGCCTGAGTGTCAGGACTCTTTCCCTGGTGGGTCCTGCCCGCAGTCGTGGGCTTGATGAGCTGGATGCGCAAATCCCAATTGAGTAATTTTCGGGCAATTTTTCTAAATCTGGCAAATTTGTCCCGTGACGCCGGCACACCACGGCCGCTTCGTGCGAACGTCGTCACGGGACTCTTTAACGTCCACTGCGAGTGAAGCGGATGGCGCTTCGTATTCTTACGGCTAATAGTAGCAACGAATCCGCGAACCTCTCTGCCACAGGTGGCGAGCGCGCTGCCTCTGGGCCGTGGCGTCGCCACCGTGTGTGAGCGAGAGTGTGAGAGAGTTGTGTGTGTGTGTCAGTGAGTGAGTGTGTCAGTGAGTGTGTGCGCATGTGTGTGTAAGAGTGTGTCGATGTAGAATTAGGCATTCTAACATGCCCAGGCATTTGGGGTTTCTGTATGTTAGGGGGTCCCTGTGTGAATTGAGAGAATATTGTGAGGGGGCTTGCAGGGGGCTAAGGGGGTGGCAGGGAGCTAAGGGGGTGAGTGGGGCTCCTCTCTTTGTCCCCACAGCCCCTGGCCCCCTTTCTCATTTCACACTAAAACCACTGGGCCCATTGTCCCATTTGTTTGGCCCTAAAAACAAGGCTCTATTTTACGGGTGGAAAAAAAACCCCACCAGCTCTTTTTCTTCTCCGCTGCCAGTTTTTGTTTTCTGTTTATTTATTTAATTCCCTTTTCTGGGGTACATTTTTTAGTCGTCCCTTTGTTCAATCCTATTTGTGTTTCTTGTGTGTGCCCGTGTGTCTGTGTCCGTGTGTGTTGTGTTTTTTTTGTGTGCAAAAATACAATTCTTGGGCTCCAGAGTTTCAAATTGTGGCTTCACCATCATCGTGAGATCTCACGCAGGACGCCCAAATGACCGAGAGTAACCCCATGCCCGCCCAGCACTTAAGCACCCTGCACAAATAAAGCTGCCACAATCCACCCACCACAATCCATCCACCGCGATCCACCCACTGTGATTCATCCACCGTGCTCCATCCATCACGATCCACCTACCGCGATCCATCCACCGCAATCCATCCACCCACCACAATCTACCCACCGTAATCCATACACCGCAATCCATCCACCACGATCCACCCACTTACCACAATCCACCCACCACGAGCCACCCACCCACCACTTTCCACCCACCATGATCCACTCGGAAGGTCACGGGTTCAACTCCTGGTTATGGGGGGTGACTCGGCCCATCATCCCTCGGAGGGCGATAAAGTAGGTATGGACTTTGTAAGGAAGATGCGCTGAGATTTATTTTCTGCCTAGTCTCGCCCCCACCATAAGAATGAGGAATTCCCATCACTGGCTCTGCAGGGATGTAAACGGGAGGTGAGCACTAATGCCTCAATGCTCATTTGAGCAGAAAATCACTTTGTCACTTTATCTGCTGAAATTTATTCCACTCGATTTATTCCGTACGTAGTATCTAGCAACAAGAAACCAGGCTGTGACATGATGATGTTTTTTTTAATGGGGATGTTTATGACGATTCTGATGGTGTGTGTTGATGATTATCGAGGAGGAGGTGTCCTTGTTGATAATTATTATGATAATAAAGCTGCTTATAACAATTGAGATCGTCATCGCAATGATGGTGATCATCATGATTATGAACACGTAATTATGCGTGATGTCATCTCGCGATACCACCAATTAATGTGGCTTTCTGAACTGCGCAGGGTGTTGTGCATTTATTTCCTTACACCACGCACTAACGAGGGCCCCACATTCATGGCAATAATAAAACATTCAAGGTTTTTTTCTCCAGTAAATAGCAATACAATTTCAATCTTCGGGGTCTCAAGGTGGGAAGCGGGCAGGAGTAGGGGGCGTGGTGGGGATCTGGACCCTATGGAATCCACGGCTGAAGTGAAGTGAGAGGATACCGGGTGAACGCGTCGCGAGGTCCGTACACGAGCGTGATTTCTTTTCTTGGTGCGGTGGCAGGGCCGGGCGACTGGGCGGCACGCGCCGCTGTGGCTGCGTGCACGCCTGCAGGCCGTGCTGTTCGAGCTCGGCTGCCGGATCCACGCACACTGCGGCAAGGTCCTCTTCCTGGGCCTCCTCGTCTTCGGGGCCTTCGCCGTGGGCCTCCGCGTGGCCTCCGTCGAGACTGACATCGAGGAGCTCTGGGTTGAAGGTGCGTGCGGTGCGGGCGGTGCTTGCAGTGTGGTACGTGCGGTTAGCGTGGTGCGTGCGGCGCATGCGGTGCATCTGCCAATCTTCTCACGGAATCTGGGTCTGTTCCGTGACCTAGCAGCCAGCCGGTAATACTTCACGTGGCCTCGCAGTGCATCTAGCCTGGCACAAGCGCCGTGATGACATCATCGCCACTTAGTGGTGAATGGTGACTGTTGTGTTTGTGGGGAGCGGTGGTGCAGTGGTTATCACACCGTGCTGCAAACTCGGCCACCCGAGTTCAAGGATGGCAATGATGATAATTTTGACAACCCAACTGTGCAGACAAACGTGGCCCGGCATGGGCGTGGTATGACGTGAACCCAAATATATCTTCATCAACCATGGTCCATCCACTGCTGGATGAAGGCCTCTCCAAGCTGTCGGTCACCTCTCATGATCATCCTACTGATGAGACACTGAATGTCACGAAACCGTTCCTGAGCTTCGCTTGTGGTGAGCATTTCGGTTAAAATCGCTCCCAGAAGGAATGCCGTGTGGCTGATGGGATATGTGGATTTAAATAAAATGTTAGGTGGAAGTCAGATATGGGAAGGAGGTGAATCGTCAGTTTATTTACATTTATATTCTCCACGAGGCCCAATGATTTCCTTGCGATGTAACGGTCCACCTCTGTCCTCCGAGTTTGAATTTGGTCAAGTCACCGTCGTTTCTGCAGGATTCCAAGTGGGCTCGCAGGGCGTGACCCCCGCGAGGGACGGGGAGCGGGGATGTTTATCGGCCAAGAGAAGGGACGGTGCAGGGGAGAGCAGAACAGAGTATGGGAGATGGGACAGTAGAGTGGGGGAGAAGGGGTGAGAGGACGAGGTTACGGGAGAGTAGGAGAGAGGATGGGAGAGAATACCGGAGAGTACACGAGTGTATGGGAGAGTATGGGATAGAGGAGCGAGGTAGGAGAGTACGGGAGAGAGGAAGACATCAGGGGAGTAGGGGATGTCAGGGGGGTACAGGGTAGATAGAGGCATTGAGAGCACTGGGGGGGGGGGTCGATGAGGGAGAGTGGAGTGAGGAGTGGAGAGTGATGAGAAGGTGGTGAGGGGAGAGGAGTGTGTGAACTGAGAGCGAGTGGAGGCCGGAGGGGGGTGAAGGAGAGGAGTGAGAAGTAGTAAGCGAGAGGAGAGACAGGAGAGAGGAGTGAGGGAGAGAGAGAGGAGTGAGGGAAAGTAGTGCGGGGTGACGGAGAGGTGATGGAGAGAGAGGGGTGAGGGAGAGAGAAGGTCGAGCGGCGTGGGGTGAGGAGAGAGAGGAGTTGGGTGAGGGGTGAGAGAGAAGTGGGGTGAGGAGAGAGAGGAGTTGGGTGAGGGAGAGAGAAGGTAGAGAGGAGTGGGGTGAGGAGAGAGAGGAGTGGGGTGAGGGGTAGAGAGGAGTGGGGTGAGGGGTGTGGGAGAGAGGAGTGGGGTGAGGGGTAGAGAGGAGTGGGGTGAGGGGTAGAGAGGAGTGGGGTGAGGGGTGAGGGGTAGAGAGGAGTGGTGTGCGGGGTAGAGAGGAGTGGGGTGAGGGGTAGAGAGGAGTGGGGTGAGGGGTAGAGAGGAGTGGGGTGAAGGGTAGAGAGGAGTGGGGTGAGGGGTAGAGAGGAGTGGGGTGAGGGGTAGAGAGGAGTGGTGTGAGGGGTAGAGAGGAGTGGGGTGAGGGGTAGAGAGGAGTGGGGTAGAGAGGAGTGGGGTGAGGGGGGGAGAAGGTAGAGAGGAGTGGTGTGAGGGGTAGAGAGGAGTGGGGTGAGGGGTAGAGAGGAGTGGGGTGAGGGGGTGGAGAGAGGAGTGGGGTGAGGGGTAGAGAGGAGTGGGGTGAGGAGTAGAGAGGAGTGGGGTGAGGGGTAGAGAGGAGTGGGGTGAGGGGTAGAGAGGAGTGGGGTGAGGGGTAGAGAGGAGTGGGGTGAGGGGTAGAGAGGAGTGGGGTAGAGAGGAGTGGGGTGAGGGGTAGAGAGGAGTGGGGTGAGGGGGAGGAGAGAGGAGACAGCAGCCAAAGCTGCCGCCATTTTGCCCCCTGTGCGCGCTGTGTGGTCTGACCGGTGGTGGCCGAGTTCCATCCCCGCTCCCCCCCACCACCACTCTCTCCCCCCACCTCCCCCCCCACCTCCCCCTTCCTCTCTCTCCCCCCACCTCCCCCTTCCTCTCTCTCCCCCCACCTCCCCCTTCCTCTCTCTCCCTGTGCTCTCCCCTCCCCCAGCTGCCCCATTATCCCAGCGCCCATCCCCGGCAGCACGGCTGGGGTGGAAGCCAACACACACACAGAGACACACACACACACAGACACCCACATAGAGATACACACACAGAGACACACACAGAGACACACACAGAGACACACACACACAGACACACACACAGAGACACACACACAGACACACACACAGAGACACACACATAGAGAAGAGACACACACACACAGACACACATAGATAAGAGACACACACACAGAGACACACACACAGAGACACACACACACAGAGACACACATAGAGAAGAGACACACACACAGAGACACACACACACACAGACACCCACATAGAGACACACACACACACAGACACACACACAGACACACATAGAGACACACACATAGAGAAGAGACACACACACACAGAGACACACACACAGAGACACACACATAGAGAAGAGACACACATGCAGAGACACACACACAGAGACAACAACAACAACAACCGCCATTCGCCACTAAGTGGCGGTGACGTCACCACGACGCTTGTGCCAGGCTATGTGCACCCTGAGGCCACGTGGTGTGTCGAACGCCCGCTGGCAGGAGGTCACGGGGCAGACCCAGGTGCCATGGGTCGACTGACTGAGATGACTGGCTGATGCACCACCTGTGCCCCCTACTGTGCCAACCTGCTGTGCTTTAGCCACCCGGCGCTCCGCTCGTTGTTGTGAGCGTCGCTCCTCCGCCCTCCGTTGTTGTTGGAGGGCGACTACCTCCAACTGCCCAGTAGCGGCCTTTATGAGCCTCCTCCACAGAGGCCGATCTTGACACCGCTGGTACCAGTCATCGGCAAGTCCACTCAGCTCCACGTCCTCCTGTACCACATCACTCCATCTCTTCTCTAGCCCGTGCCGTGCCCGCTTTGCCCCCTCGATCCGGCCGAACAAAAGCTGTTTCGGCATGCGGTGGCTGGGCATGCGGGCTACATGACCCAGCCATCGCAGCCTTGCCCGCTGGAGGAGCTCACCGATTGGACCTTGCCCAGATCTTTCAAGGATTTGTGAGCTCCTCACACAATCCAGTCTGGTCAAACCCAGGATGGATCGTAGGCAGGCCACGTTTCGCAAGCGTCCAGAAGGGAGGGAATGACCGTGGCCGAGAAGACCTGAAGCTTAGTGCGGAGCGACAGACCAGGTAGCTTCCACACAGCGTTACGCAACCGATGAAAAGATATTGCCGCTCGACTGATTCGGAGTGAGACATCTGCTGTTAAACTGGAGCCGGTCACATAGAGACACACACGACGAGACCCACATAGAGAAGACACACACACAGAGAAGACACACACATAGAGACACACACATAGAGAAGACACACACACAGAGACACACACACAGAGACACACACATAGAGAAGAGACACACACAGAGACACACATAGAGAAGAGGCACATGGAGACACACACACACAGAGACACGCACATAGACACACACACAGAGACACACACAGAGACACGCACATAGAGAAGAGACACACACACACACAGACACACACATAGAGACACACACATAGAGAAGAGACACACACACAGAGACCCATAGAGAAGAGACACACAGAGACACACACACACAGAGACACACACACACAGAGACACACACATAGAGAAGAGACACACACAGAGACACACAGAGAAGAGGCACATGGAGACACACACACAGAGACACACACAGACACACACACAGACACACACACAGAGACACACATAGAGACACACACATAGAGAAGAGACACACACAGAGACACACACACACAGACACACACATAGAGAAGAGACACACACACAGAGACACGTACACAGAGACACGTACATAGAGACACACACATAGACAGACACACACATAGAGAAGAGACACACAGACACACGCACATAGAGAAGAGACACACACAGAGACACGTACATAGAGACACACACACAGACACACGCACATAGAGAAGAGACACACACAGAGACACACACACATAGAGAAGAGACACACACACAGAGACACGCACATAGAGACACAACAACAACGGCAGTCGCCGTTCATCAATAAGTAGCGGTGGCGCATCACCACGGCGCTTGTGCCATGCTAGGTGCACTTTGGAGGCCACGTGAAGTGTCGGAAGGCCCGCTGGCAGGTCACCGGACAGACCCCGAGTGCCATGGGTTGACTGACTGTGTTGACAGGCCGATGTACCAACCGCGCTCCCCACTTTACCAACTTGCTGCATTTTAGCCGCCTGACGCTCCCCTCGTTGTTGTGAGCGTCGCTCCTCCACCCACCGCTGTTGCTGGAGCGTGACTGCCTCCGACTTCCCAGTAATATCCCTAACAGCCTTCTCCACAGAGGCCGATCTTGACACCGCTGGTAGCAGTCAGCGGCGAGTCCAATCCACTCCACATCCTCCCACAACACATCGGCCCATCTCTTCTCCAGACCGTGCATTGCCCTTTTAGCACCCTCAGTCCGGCCAAACAGAATCTGTTTGGGCATGCGTTGGCTGGGCATGTGGGCTACGTGACACAGCCATTCTCACGGGTGCAAATTCCACGTTCATTTAGCAGGAACAAGTCTATCGACATATAAGCCCTCATTGTAATAACTAGACGTGTACTGTAATGGCTCTATTTGGGCCCGCTTAGGAGACTCGGTGTAGGGTGGACGGAAAGTTCATACACCCCTGTCTTGAAAGCTGCTGTGGACACAAAATGATGAATGGGCAAAGGAACTTTCCATCCACCCTATACACAACACGTGTATGTGAGCACTTCAGGTATGCGTATGTGTGTAGTAATGTTGAGGGGAGCGGTGGCGCAGTGGTTAGCGCATTGTGCTCAGAACCCGGCGAGTTCGATTTGTGCTCACGGCCAACATCAGTGATGATTAATTATCTGAACCGGTGCTGGGCCTGCCTTAGGTCAACTCGGCCTTAAATGAGTGCCTGATGCATTGAGGATACAATGGTAGCCGGATATGGCTTTGGCCACACCACCCTTTCATGCCAAATGCCAACCTTAATAGGTGCTCGCTAACAGCACTTACCCAAACCGTCTACGTAGGCTACACAGGGGATCTTTGTCTTTGTGTTCGGTATGTAATAGGTCTCCATGACCCCTTCAGCAACTAAAGGCCGCTGCGTTCGCCACATGAATCGAATTAGGACAAACGGATCGGTAAAAAAATCCCTCCACCACCCAACATAGCCAAACAAATGAAATTGTCCCACGGCGTACGAGCGGTGATTGCGCCACCATTTGTGATTGTTTCGGCTCGCCCACCGGTGAATGAAAGAACAATCCTCATAACCAAATATTGCGATTCAATTCGCGACCTTTCGCTGGAAATTGCGCCGAGCACCTTCAGGACAAGAGCCAGGAGGTCAGAGATAAATCCTGGAAGTCAGAAATGTGGCGTGCCCCCGCTCACCGTTGGCTGGGAGCGGTCACAAGATTCCGAACCAATCAGCATCGGCGCATACACTTGTGTGGCAGTTACAAAAAAAAAATCTACATTTCCTGCCCAGTGCGGCTGTCGGGGTGGGGGGGGGGGGAACTCTTAATTTGCAGGGCAGGTGCAGTTGGGTGGCCCAAGGGGACTTTTAATTTGTAAGTGGCCACTCATTGCCCTTGTGCTTAACGAATGCAGAACACGTGTAGGATTCCGCAGTTAATTGACTTCCCTTGGTTTAACCCAAGTGGCGCTGGTTATATCACGTGCGTTCATTGCAGCGTGCCTGATATTACGATCGGTCCTAAAATGTATTTCTTAATGTTACGTTCACCATTCACTGTTCATCATCGTCATCAACTTGGCAATTAGCGTTTTACCCCAACAATAACTATGCTGTTCTGTCCCATGGAGTCAATTCCCAACCCTTTCTGTGCGGAGTTTGTACGTTCTCCCCCTGTTCTGCAGAGTGTGAGCGAGTGCGTCTGTGGAGCTCACTCAGTTAGGGAATCGAACCCAGGAACTTCTTGATCTGACTCAAGAGGCACGCCGCCACCACCACCCTGCCCGTGGACATCATTAAAGAGGCGGGACCAGTTGTTGGAACAAAAAAAACTAATTAGTCGAGCAGCTCCCTAAACGTTTACACATACATAAGAATGCAATAATGGGATACAGCCTCAATATAGGCCACCACTGCCTCCAGAGGAGCTCCCTGGAGCTGTCTTTAGTGCAGACCCTTCTACCAGCAGTGGCAAGAGGAAGGCATTGCAGGACTGTGCCTCTCCCCTCCCCACCCTTCCCCCCCTGGCTTGTGCCTTCATTCCAGCTGAGGACGTTCATTCCGTCCGTCCCTTTTTTGGGAAACTCGGGGGGTGAAAGGTCGAGTCACCGTGTGACCCCGGGTAAAGACAGCTGTCGCGTGTGTGTGTGTGCGTGAGTGTGAGACAGTGTGTGTGTTTAGGTGGGGGAGTGGTACCATCGTGGTTAGCGCATTGCGCTACAAACGGCTTTGATTCCCGCTCACAACCAACACCTCCAATTCGCACGGTTGGCTACGTACGATGCGAAAGAAGTTCAACATACTTATATTCGGTGGCGATTATCGGAACCTGTCCTGGGCCTCCTCTAGGTGGACTCAACCTGAAAATGATTACCTAGTGCGGTGTGTAAACATTTCTTCTTGGGAGACAAAGGCGACCGGGCATAGTGCTGGCCACCCATCCCTTCGTGTGCCGTGCCGGCCTTCGTAGGTGCTCGCTAACAGCACTTGCCCCAGCAGTCTGTCAAGGCCACACGGGGGATCTTTGTCACAGAGCGAGGCTGTGCGCCACCGTGCTCGTTCCTTCTCCGACACGCGTCATTCTCTGTTCACTCGCCGGTGCAACAATCGCCCAAACTCGATTGTCATTTTTCTTCGACTTTACTATGAACGGTGTCCGAGCCAACTTGCCTTACCAGGAATTTAATTTAAGTAACTTCGATTATGTTTCAGCACTGTTTATGATTTATTCTGTGGCGCAGTTGCTTTTGCCCCGTTTCTATTTTGGGTTTTGCTCAGATTTTTTAAACATTTGCTGCATTGCCATAACTTTATTTGTTTTGCTTTGCTCGTGACGGTCGGTGACCCCAGGGCGCTCTGTGCGAACCAGGCTCCTCTGCCGCTCTCTTTCGCGTGCGCTCGCACGGTCACACAGAAGTGACGCTTGAAGCGAAAACCCGGCTCTCGCTCGTTGTCGCACGACCCACGAAGCTGCGCTCGCGTGCCGCGTTTAAAACGATCGTGCGCCGCCACCGCCGTGTGGAAATCATCCATCACTCAATTACCCACGTTGGGCACGGCTAGCCCGGAATGGTGGGGGGAGCGGGAGAGTGAGCAGGAGAGGGAGAAGGAGGAGGAGGGAAATGGGCAGGGTGAGTGCTGGGAAAAATCCAGTCCGGATCAATTTTCCCGTGTGTTGTGGAACGCGGATGGAGCCCAATCCAACTCTTTGTTGCCGCGCTACGAATCCGGCGAGCTGGGTTCAGATCCCTGACACGGCTCACATCGGTGTCGAGTCGTTTTTGAACATACAGCTCACCGGCGTGGGTTGGCGGTCTTGCCGCATGATGTTTGGTGCGAAGTCCGACGTTTCGTTGCACGCACTCGGGGGGAGCTTCAGGGATTGAAACGTCGGAAGTGGTGTTGAACAGCGGACGATGCAACCCGATAACACGTCGTGACGGTGGTGATGATGGTGTTCCCACATGTTTAAAGTGCTTGAAAGTTCCTTTGTCCATGAGTGTGTGCGTGCGTATGTGGTGCACATAGCCCAGCACAAGCGCGCTGGTGACGTCACCACCACTTAGTGGCGAATGGCGGTTGTTGTTGTGTCCCTTTGTTTTTGCGGGAGAGCGATGGCGCAGCGGTTCGCGCGCTTGTCATGAACCCGGCGACCCGAGTTCGATTCGCACTCATGGTCAAAACCAGTGATGAAAACCTAAACCGGTGCTGGGCCTCCCCTGGGTCGACTCAGCCCTAAACGAGTACCTGGTGCGGTGTACAGTGAGGGAAAAAAGTATTTGATCCCCTGCTGATTTTGTACGTTTGCCCACTGAAAAATAAATTATCAGTCTATAATTTTAATGGTAGGTTTATTTGAACAGTGAGAGACAGAATAACAACAACAAAATCCAGAAAAACTCATGTCAAAAATATTATAAATTTATTTGCATTTTAATGAAGGAAATAAGTATTTGACCCCCTCTCAATCAGAAAGATTTCTGGCTCCCAGGTGTCTTTTATACAGGTAACTGGCTGAGATTAGGAGCACACTCTTAAAGGGAGTGCTCCTAATCTCAGCTTGTTACCTGTATAAAAGGCACCTGTCCACAGAAGCAATCAATCAATCAGATTCCAAACTCTCCACCGTGGCCAAGACCAAAGAGCTCTCCAAGGATGTCAGGGACAAGATTGTAGACCTACACAAGGCTAGAATGGGCTACAAGACCATTGCCAAGCAGCTTGGTGAGAAGGTGACAACAGTTGGTGCGATTATTTGCAAATGGAAGAAACACAAAAGAACTGTCAATCTCCCTCGGCCTGGGGCTTCATGCAAGATCTCACCTCGTGGAGTTGCAATGATCATGAGAACGGTGAGGAATCAGCCCAGATCTACACGGGAGGATCTTGTCAATGATCTCAAGGCAGCTGGGACCATAGTCACCAATAAAACAATTGGTAACACACTACACCGTGAAGGACTGAAATCCTGCAGCGCCCGCAAGGTCCCCCTGCTCAAGAAAGCACATATACATGCCCGTCTGAAGTTTGCTAATGAACATCTGAATGATTCAGAGGACAACTGGGTGAAAGTGTTGTGGTCAGATGAGACCAAAATGGAGCTCTTTGGCATCAACTCAACTCGCCGTGTTTGGAGGAGGAGGAGGAGGAATTCTGCCTATGACCCCAAGAACACCATCCCCACCGTCAAACATGGAGGTGGAAACATTATTCTTTGGGGGTGTTTTTTCTGCTAAGGGGACAGGACAACTTCACCGCATCAAAGGGACGATGGACGGGGCCATGTACCGTCAAATCTTGGGTGAGAACCTCCTTCCCTCAGCCAGGGCATTGAAAATGGGTCGTGGATGGGTATTCCAGAATGACAATGACCCAACACATACGGCCAAGGCAACAAAGGAGTAGCTCAAGAAGAAGCACATTAAGGTCCTGGAGTGGCCTAGCCAGTCTCCAGACCTTAATCCCATAGAAAATCTGTGGAGGGAGCTGAAGGTTCGAGTTGCCAAACGTCAGCCTCGAAACCTTAATGACTTGGAGAAGATCTGCAAAGAGGAGTGGGACAAAATCCCTCCTGAGGTGTGCAAACCTGGTGGCCAACTACAAGAAACGTCTGACCTCTGTGATTGCCAACAAGGGTTTTGCCACCAAGTACTAAGTCATGTTTTGCAGAGGGGTCAAATACTTATTTCCCTCATTAAAATGCAGATCAATTTATAACATTTTTGACATGCGTTTTTCTGGATTTTTTTTGTTGTTATTCTGTCTCTCACTGTTCAAATAAACCTACCATTAAAATTATAGACTGATCATTTCTTTGTCAGTGGGCAAACGTACAAAATCAGCAGGGGATCAAATACTTTTTTCCCTCACTGTATATAAATCAGCACTGAAGAGGCTAAAGCGGCCAGGTGTGGTGCTGGCCACCCACCCCTCGCGTGTGCTGCTCACTAACAGCACTTGTCCCACCGGTCTGTTAAGGCTATACGGGGTGGGGGATCTTTGTCTGTGCAGTGGACGGACGAGTGAGCCGAGAGCTCGCCTACACACGGCTCAAGATCGGCGAAGACGCCGGAACGAGTCCACAGATGCTCATTCAGACGGGGCGCTCGGGTGGTGGCATCGGAGCTGAGAAGGCCAGGCAGCAGTTGACCCCCGAGGGGTTGAGGCAGCACCTGGTGTCGGCTCAGGCGGCCAGTCGCACGCAGGTCACCCTCTACGGGAAGTGAGTGCCGCCATCGTCTTTATCATCATCATCATCAACGTCGTGATCATCACCCAATCCGTCACCGTCGTGATTATTGTCATCGCCATCATGGTCACCATCGTCATCGTCGCCATCATTGTCACCGTCATCGTTGTCTGCGTAATGTCAGTGTTATTGTTGTTGTTGATGTTGGTTGGCGGTGGTTGATGTTGGTTGGTGTCGGCAGGAGTTGCCGTTATTGTTGATGGTGGTGGCGTTGTTGTTGTTGAACGTTATTGTTGGTCGTTGATATTGGCAGTTAGTAGGTGTTGTTGTTGTCAGTTGTTATTTATTGTTGTTGATTGATGTCGTTGGTTGATTTCACTCTCTTCCCCATGCCACTGCATCTCCCCGTGGCGCGTTCCAGGGAGTGGACTTTAGACAAGCTCTGCTTCAAGAGCGGCATACCCATTTTCGAGATATCCCTCGTGGACCAGGTGAGTCCATGCGTGACGTCCCATTCCCCATCGCTCCCAGGCTCCTTCTCCACCCTCACACAACCACGTTTCACCCTTTTCTCCCAGCATCCCCTGCCCTTTTCGACTCTGCCCGAGCAGATACCACCGAATGTCTGGGTTCAAATCCGAGTCGGGGCTGCCCTCATGTCCCATAGACGCCATCGGAGACCCATAGACTCACGGGGATCTGGGATCTCCAGTCTTGTGGTGGAGTGGGGAGGTGGGTGACGTGGCCGGTGGTGGCACGTTTGCTGCTCCTTACAGATATTCGCGGTTGATTTGAACCCAGGGACCACCCTGGTTAATACCGCGGTGCATTACCCATGAATAGTACCGTAAATAATCTGCTTTGCTTCACAGTAAGTGTTAAGAATCTCATAACGGTAGTCACAAAAAGAGTAGGGCATCTCGTGCTGGCTTCAATGTCTGGGTGCTATACTCCAGATGTGACAGCAGCGGAGATAGAGGTACGAGGCCTTGTGGAGTTTGTAATCGTTTCTGTGTTGTCGTCTCTTTCTCCGTGTGTCCTTTGCCCGCTCGCCTGCCCATCTGCCCGTTCCTGGAAGCTGGTGGAACGGCTGTTCCCGTGCGTGGTCATAACGCCACTCGACTGCTTCTGGGACGGAGCTAAACTACAAGAAGGCTTCATATATCTGCCGTAAGTCTTTACCACTACTTTTTTATTTTAAGTGTTCAGTGTTGGTCGAGATGTGTGGATCAGAAGGATTGACAGTGAAGATGGAGATGATGGAAGGGGAAGAGGAGGACGTAGGTAGGCGGGTGACTCAGAGGTCAGAGACGCTGAGAGGTCGGAGCCGGCACCGCTGAGTTCCTGTGCAGCGAGTTTGTGGTCTCGTCAACTCGCGGTGTGGTGAAGTACGGTCGAACAGTCCCCACGGCCAGCGTGGCGTGGGGAGGCCCTCATCCAGCAGTGGAGGGACACGGAGGGCCGTGTGCGTCAACATTTATCTTTTATATTGCGGTTGCCGAGCACAGGGCCCAAGGGCTCGACACGCCGAGCGGCCAGCAACGAGTAGCACCATTGGGGTTGTAATGGATAAGAGAGGAACACGTTCCTTGTGTTAAGCAAGGTGCTGTTATTATTGTAAGAGCTTGGGGGGAAGAGATGACGATGGGAGGGAGCTCTTCCAGAGTGGAGCAGTGCGAGGGAAGAAGCAGAGAGAGAAGTGGGGTGACCTGCAGTGCGGTGAGTGGGTAGGTGGGTGAGCGAGTGGGTTAATCGGTGTGTGAGCGGGTGAGTTAGTGAGTATGTTGTTGTGACCTGCAGTGTGTTGAGTGGGTGGGTGAGCGAGTGGGTTAATTGGTGAATGAGTGGGTGAGTTGGTGAGTGTTGCTGTGACCTGCAGCGTGGTGGTTGAACGCGGCGTGTGATGGAATCGACGAGCGAAGTTCACGGGAGCGCTAACCACGGTGGTAGCGGTAGAAGGGTGACAGGGAGGTGACTGACGGCCGGTGGCAGTGCCCCCCCCCCCCCCCCCCCCGTGTGCGGTCCCGCCTTCGGTGCGTGCGATTGGCCACGACCCCAGGTGTCGCCGACACACAGTCCGGTGACTCTGCCGATATCAAGACGTCAGCGTGCGGCCGGTTGGACACCGAAACAAAACCGTGGTGGGGGGTGGATGGAGGGGCGGCACGGAGTGAGGGGGCGGGGGGGAGGTTGGGGGGGGAGCGGCAGGATTTTAACGAGCGAGCAAGCTCAGTGCTCCTATGTGGGTGGCGGCGGTCTGCAAACTCCGGGGTGGACTGAGCTTCGGGGGATAGCGCGCGGGGTGGGATGGGCAGAGAGAGGGAGAGAGAGAGAGAGGAGAGAGAGCGAGCGGGAGGATGAGAGAGGCAGGGAGAGCGGGAGAGAGGCAGGGAGTGCGGCGGAGCGAGATGGAGCGGAGGAGGAGGAGGAGGATGCCGGGAGAAAGAGAGAGAGAGAGCGAGAAGAAGGGGCTGTGAGATTTACAAGCAGCGCTGCCCGTGAGAAACTTGGACACCAGTGCTGGCTTTGTCACCCGGATCTGCAGCTGGGACCGCCGGGACAATGGGTGGCCAAATTTGGTAGCGGCTGGGCCGTAAATACACTTACCCCAGCGCTCATTCTTGTGCTAATGGGGGCGGCTTGCTATGGGGGGCGGTTTGTGACTCCGTGTCCGTGCAGAGCTCTCTACGAGACGGGAGAGAATGAAGACCGCCGTGTTTGGGGGGGCGGGGGTGGGGGAGGGGCGGGGGGGTTGAGTGTTGAGGGCGGAGGGGAGTCGATGGCGAGAGTGGCGGTGGTGGTGGGGGGGGGGGGCGATGGGGAAATTGCGGAACAGCTGTCTCACCCAGCGCTCGGCACCACCACCGCCGCCAAACCATCATCACCGCCACAAAACCACTATCATCCCCACCACCATCACTCCCGTCACTGTCACCGCCATCACCACCACAACCGGCCACCACCGTCATCACCACCAGCACCACCGTGGGTGTATAAGAGGGAGTGAGAGAGAAAGGGAGCGAGCTGTGGTGGCATCATGGGTCAGGGCATTCTGGGTCAGGGCATTCTGGGTCAGGGCATTCTGGGTAAGTTGCTTTGGACCAAGGGATGAGATGTGATGTACCCAGGTGGTGGCAGTATAGCACGTCGGTCTGCAGCAGCGCCGTGCTGCGTGTTCTCCGGGCTCTCCGGCTCCCTCCCAGGCTCTCGCGGCCAGCGGGGAACTCATGGCCAAACATCCCAGCGTAGTAGCACCCTCGTGAAATAAAAGTCGCGAGGCTCTGCGCAGCGAAGCTTCCCCGTGTACACAGATAAACACACCTGTTTCACAAGAATACATCCAACATCAAAATGAACATGTGCATTTCCTCGCTTAGAGCCCATTGTCACTCCGCTGCTTGGGTGGAGGCCTCCAAAGGACGTGCCCATTATGTGGGGGGTTGCTTGCCCATACTTCACCACGCTGGAGAGTACCGGTTGGTGGAGCGCGCCGCGCTGCAAACCCGCCAACCTGAGTTAAATTCTGTCCTCTTCCTCTCCTAGGTTGGCTCAGCCTTAAATTAGTACCTGCCGCCGTGTTTAAATTTCAGAAGCGGGGAGACAAAGGCGGTCGGGCACACGAGGGCGTGGTGTGATTAGCACCACGCCCTGGTGTGCCATACCGGCCTTAACAGCTGCTCGCTAACAGCACTTGCTCCGACAGCATGTACGGCTTAATGGGGTCTTTGTGCATGTGTGCATGCGTGTGTGAGTGTGTGCGTGCGTGCGTGTGTGTGTTCACCACATGTGCATTCACATTGAGCCCCAAACACAAAAACCAGGGTTTCTTAACTGAAGTGCAATTAAGCACAAAGACACAAACAAGACAAAGATCCCCCGTGTAATATTTTACAGACTGTTGGGCCAAATGCGGTTAGCGAGCATCTATGAAGGCCGGCACGGCACACGAGGGGGTGGGTGGTCAGCACTATGCCCGGCCGCCTTTGCCTCCCCAGTGCTGCTGTTTTCACATTGCACCAAGTACTAATTTAATACTGAGTCAACCTAGGGGAGGCCCACGCCGATATTGGTCATGTCTGGGAATCCAACTCGGGTCGCAAAGTTCGTGGTGCGGTGCGCTAACCACTACGCCACCGTTCCCCACTACACACGTGTATACATGTGCACAGATACACACAGGCAAGTGCGCAGAATGACAAACACATGCACGCACACACGCACATTCACGTACACACACAGACGCACTCCCACAACAACAACAACCGCTATTTGCCAATAAGTGACGGCGACGCCACAGAAATTCTTGTGCCAGGCTAAGAGCACGCACGCACGCACGTGCAGAGCAACTGACACGCACACACGCACTCCACACACATAAGACACGTGCGCACACCGTACGCACATGCACGCGTACACTCACACCAAACACACACACACACTACACACACTCCAAAACAGACACACACACAGCCCACTCACACTTCCTCTTCTTCCTCCCCTCTGTCCTCCTCTCCTCCTGCTCCTCCTCCCTACTCTCCTCCACTTCCTCTCCTCCTCCTCTCTTCCTACTCCTCATCTCCTCCTCCCCTCCTCTCCTCCTCCTCTCCTCCCCGCTCGACACACGCAGCCTTTGAAATGGTTTTTGGTAACCCAGGCCACCCCCTGAGGGGGATTTGGAATGTGGACTGCCACGAGAGAGACCCCTACCCTACCCCGCACGCACAAGGCACACACGGGTGTACACACCCGTACGCACACGTGCACACACTTGCATACCCGCACTCGCACGCGTATACACACGTGCGAGTACGGACACACGCACGCGCGCAGCATAAACCGCGTAAACAAAGATCCCCCATGTGGCCTGAACGAGACTGTTGGCGCACACACACTCACATACGCACTCGCGCGTACACAATTACGTACACACATGCGTGCACGCATTTACTCACACACACGCGCGCTCACGCCTCTCTAGCCCCTGTGCACGGAAGCCGGCTGTGCGTGCGTCTGTGCGTGTGTTTGTGAGTCTGTGAGTATGTTGGGAGTGGTGGTGCAGTGGTTAGCACACTGCACTACAAACCCCTTCAGCCTAAAGTGAACATGTATAGTTTGTGAGTTGGTGTGTGTGTGTGTTTAGTGGCGAGCGGTAGCGTAATGGTTAGCGCCCTGTGCAATGAACCCGATTCCCGGTGGAGAGACAAAGGTGGCCGGGCGTGGTGCTGGCCACCCAGCCACCGTGTGCCGTGCCGGCCTTCATCGGTGCTACTTGCCAACGGCACTTGCCCCAACAGTCGTTAAAGGCTACACGGGGAATATTTGTATCTTTGTGTGAAGCGGTGACACAGCGATTGGCACAATGCACTACGGACCCGAAAAACCTGAGTTTGCACATGCCCGTCTACGTCTGGAGCGGTGGCGCAGTGGTTAGCACGGTGCGCTACGAACCCGGCGATCTGAGTTCAACTCCGAGCCACGGGCAACAAAAAGCTGCGAGTGACATCGTAATTCATCCTGGGTCTTCCCTCATGAGTTCACTCCTCGTGTCAACCTCGCCTAAGGGTACAGAGGAAGGGGGGTGGGTGAGGAGGAGGAGGAGGAGGAGACGGACAGGAGGGAGACAGGTGTCTGGGCATTGCTCCGGTCAACACCGTACTCCGCGTCTGCGCGGTGGTGGCTACGCTGCTGCTGCACATGGATGCTGCCTGTAATTCGGCGCTGTGGAGGCAGAAGCAGCGGGGTTTGGTGGATCGACACACAAATGTTGCTGTGAAGCTCCCTTCCAATGGGCGTCAGGGGGTGCCCTACCCCTGGCTCGCCACGAGAAGACAGTGTAGCAAGTGGACTGATCGCCATCTGTTTCTATCTGTATGGGGATAGAGCGTTGCCCGCTCGCAAAGGCGTGGGTTTTCTCCGGGTGCTCCGGTTTCCTCCCACGTGAATGATAAATGCGACTCATGATGAATTGGCTGAAAACATCTTACAAATAAAAACGCAGTGCAATAGCAGCAGCAGCAAGACCCTCCTGAAAACAAGAGTGCATCGACTCGGCGTGGCTCTGTTGTATCTGCAGCAGTCAACCGGTGATCCGGTGGACGAACCTGGACCCCGAGCGGCTGCTGGAGGCGCTGGGCTCCGTGCTAGACGTGAGCCAGCTGAAGCGGCTGCTGCAGCGCGCCGGCGTCGGCCGGGCCTACATGGACAGGCCTTGCCTGGAGCCCTCGGACCCCGACTGCCCTGACACCGCGCCCAACAAACACTCGGGACAGGTGAGCAGGGTGAGGAGGGTGAGGAGGAGGATGAATAGGAGGTTGGTTTATGAGGTTGAGGAGGAAGAAGAGGCAGAGGCAGTGTCTGTATATGAGTCTCGCTCATGTAGGAGGCAGGAGAAATATTGACATAATGCGTGTGTCTCTGCGTGCGTCTCTGTGTGCGTCTCTGTGTGTGTGTCTCTGTGTGCGTGCGTCTCTGTGTGCGTCTCTGTGTGTGTGTGTCTCTGTGTGCGTGCGTCTCTGTGTGCATGCATCTCTGCGCGTGTGCGTCTCTGCGCGCGTGTGTCTCTGCGTGCGTCTCTGTGTGCGTGCGTCTCTGCGCGCGTGCGTCTCTGCGCGCGTGTCCCAGGCACCCGACGTGGCGGGCGAGCTCTCGGGCGGCTGCTACGGCTTCTCGCGGCGCTACATGCACTGGCAGGAGGAGCTCATCATCGGCGGCGCCGCACGCAACGGCTCTCGCCTTCTCACGTGAGTCGCGCGCCGCTCGGTGGGCCGCCCCGATTCGTCCCGCGGTGCCACCGTGCTCAACGTACAGACGCCACTTGCCGGCCGCCTCGATCACGGTGGACGTTCGGGGTCCCGTGACCTCATCGGCGTCACGGTCCGAGTTTGCGGATCACTGAATTGGGACTACGCATCGGCAGCAGTCGTTGTCCCCTACCTTGTACCACACAGGGACAGCTGCCGCTGGGGGTGCCCTTTCAAAATACACTGAGATGCGATGTACCATTGCAACTCGGCATGACCTCTGACCTCTGTGACCTGCCCTCCTCCCACAGCGCCCAGGCCCTACAAACGGTGTTCCACCTGATGAGCGCCGATCAGCTGTTCCGCACGTTCAAAGGCGACTACGAGATGTTAGACGTCAACTGGAACCGGGAGAAAGCGGCCGCCGTGCTCGACGCGTGGCAGCGCAAGTTTGTGCAGGTGAGGGAAAGTTGCCCGCTCGCCCACACGCTCGACCGCCAGCCACTCGATCACCCACCTGCCAGCTCTGCCGCCCGCTCAATCACCCACCTGCTCCCTCGCTCTGCCACTTACTCGATCACCCACCCACCCGCTATGCCGCCCGCTTGATCATGCACCCACCTGCTCACTCACGCTACCGCTCGCTCGTATCCCCCACCTGCTCCCTCGCTGTGCGGCTCACTCGATTGCCCACTCACCCACTCACTTAGGCACTCACCCGCCTTGCTCGTTCTATCACGCGCTATTTCACTCGCCCGCTCGCTCCCTCGTTCGCTTACTCGTCCACCTGCCCATCCTCCTCCTGCTGCCCTCTCCACCACGTGTGGGCAGCTCGTGTTGTTGTTATTTTGGTGGCTGCCCAAATTGTCGTCCGCATGCGCTCCATCATCACGATCGTCACGGGGCAGTGACCGCGTGGGGGCCCAGCAATTGTGCACTCACCGATCGTTGCAGAGTTTTGTGGTTAACATCCGGCAGGCCACCCTGGTTAATACTGCAGTGGTGTGGTATTAACCGTAAAAATACTACCACGCGCTGTCTGCTTCACTCACAGTGGACAGTGAAGATCCCATGATGGTACAATTCTTCCAGATTTGAAAAATAATAAAATGTTTGGTCCATGGAGATCACACGCAGCAGCAGCAGCAGCAGCAATCATCAGCCCCTGCAGCGAAAAAATGGCATGATCCTGAAAAAGAATCATGAGGCTTTCCTTGAGTAAACAAGCATCATCCTATTCACGATATTGATCGTCGTCGTGTGCGTCCGTTGTTATAACCGCCGTCTTTCTGCGGTGATGGTTGTGGTGGTGGCGTGCGGTTGGGGGGGGGGGGCCGTGCGGTGCAGGTGGTGCAGCAGAGCGTGCCCCCCAACTCGAGCCACGTCGTCAGCTCCTTCACGCAGACGACGCTCAAAGACATCCTCCGCTCCTTCTCCAGCGTGAGCGCCGTGCGCATCGCCGGGGGCTACCTGCTCATGGTGAGATGCCCGGGGTCGTGCAGGGGTCACTGAGGCGGGGGTCACGGGGGGGGGGGGGGGGGGGAGTCTGCGGAGAGGTCACCGAGGGGAGGCGGGGAGGTCACCGAGGGGTCGCGCGGGGGTCACCGAGCGGGATACAATCTGAGCAGTCACGGAGATGAGGGGGAAAGGTCACAGAGGGGTCACCGAGGGGGTCATGGAGACGGGGCAAGGTTACGAGGGGTCTCGACCCCAAGATTTCCCGTCACAGTGGGAGGCTCCCCTGCTCCCTAACCCCTGACCCCTGACCCGCCACCATGGGACATTGGACACCCCCCAATGAGAACACCTGTTCCTCGCGTGTGTACGTGTCTGTGTGTCTGTGCGATGGTGTAGTCATGTGCACGTGTGTGTCTGAGTGCACGATGATGCTGGTGGGAAGCAGTGGCGCAGTGGTTAGCGTGCGCTGCACTACAAACCCGGCAACCCGAGTTCGATGCGCGCTTACGGCCAAACATTGGTGACGAATATCTGAACCCGTCCCGGGCCTCCCCTAGGTCAGCTCAGCCTGAAATGTGTACCCGGTGCGATGTGTAAACATCGCCACGAGGGAGACAAAGGCAGTCGGGCGTTTTGCTGGCCAGCCGCCCCCCTCGTGTGCCGTGCCGGCCTTCGTAGATTCTGCTCGCCGACGGCGCTTGCGCCCAACATTCGGTGAAGGCTATTGGGGGGGATTGTTGTCGCCTGTGTAGATGGTGTACTCGTGCATGACGATGCTGCGCTGGGAGTGCGGCCGCTCCCAGGGCGCCGTGGGCCTCGCCGGCGTTCTGCTCGTCGCTCTGTCCGTTGCCTCCGGCCTCGGGCTCTGCTCGCTCATCGGCATCTCCTTCAACGCCGCCACCACGCAGGTGCGGACGGGGGGAGGCTGGGGGGGCATTCCACGGGGGTGCCACGGGGGTACCAAGCGGGGTATTAAGAGGGTATTGCCCCACTGCTGAAGGGCTGCTGCTCGAAACGTCGCCTTTATTTTTTGTTCCCGTTAAGGCCACAGTGGCATTGGCACCGAGTGTGCTGAGTTGTTTTGTTATTTGTGCTTTTGCACCACTGCCTACCGCAGCAGCAGCAGCAGCAGGCCATTTGTCACATTGGGGCGGATCGTTACATGGCCTAACCCACAACTCTGCCGGGCGGCGGTGGTGGTGGTGGTGGCAGCTAAACACTGCCTGTGATCCAGCGCTGTGCAGGCAGCAGCGAGGATTGGTGGATCACACACAGATGTTGCTGTCAAACTCCCTTGCCGTGGGCGTAGGGGAGGAGCCGTACCCTGACTCGCTAGGAGAAGGCGGTGTAGGAAAGTGGACTAATCGCCATCTGTTTACATCTGTACGTGGGAGATAGAGCATTGCCCCCTCGCGCTTGACATGCTCCGTTTTCCTCCCACACGTGTACAGTATAATAAACACAACTCGTTATCATTCATTGGCTAAAAGCAGGACCTTCATGGAAAATTAGCGAATCAATTGATTCAATTACGATGTATCTCTTTTGACTCATAATGTTGACTGCGAATACTGTCCATGGTTCTGATTGAGGTCACGTGTCCCTCCACCCTCGCCCCACCCCCCGCCCCATCCCAACCTCCCAACCCCCACCCCCCATGCCCCCCCCCCCGGTCCCCCCCGCCACCTCCCAACCCCCCCCCCCGTGCCCCCCCCCGCCTGCAGGTGCTGCCCTTCCTAGCGCTGGGGATCGGGGTAGATGATGTCTTCTTGCTGGCGCACTGCTTCACTGAGATGGGACAGCAAACGAACATTCCGCTCGAGGTGCCGGCCGCGCACACACAAAGACAAAGGTCGTCCCCCCTACGGTCCCAAGAGGCTGTAGGGGCAGGGGCTGTTCGCGAGCGTGGCCAGCACCGTGTTTCCCCACTGGTGATGGTTTACGCACCGCACCGGGTAATCATTCGAGGCTGAGTCAACCTAGGGGGGTCCCAAGGCCTATGCTGGCTGTGGGCAGAGATGGAACTCGGGTCCGCCGGGTTTCGTAGCGCGGTGCCTTAAGCAGTGCGCCACCGCTCCCCACAGAGACAGAGATCCCCCATAAAGCCTTGAACAGACTGTCAGGCCCACCGCTCCCCACAGCACTCTCGCACACACACACACACGCACACAGTCGCACGCATACACACGCACGCACACAGTCGCACACACGCGCAGAGACTCGCACACACACACAGTCGCACACACACGCACGCACAAAGTCGAACACACACACACGCACGCACACAGTCGCACACACGCGCAGAGACTCACGCACACAGTCGCACGCACACACACACGCACGCACACAGTCTAACAACAGGCGCAGAGACACACACACAGCCATGTTGTTGATGTTGTTGTTGGTGGTTGCAGCGGAGGACGGGCGAGTGCTTGAAGCGCACAGGCACCGGCGTGGCACTCACCTCCATCAACAACATGGCCGCCTTCTTCATGGCAGCGCTCATCCCCATCCCGGCTCTGCGCGCCTTCTCCCTGCAGGTATGGCCAGCACCGTAAGCACCATCAGCACCATCGGTACCAGCAGCATTGGCACCGTGAGACCCTACGGCACCATCAGTACCTTCAGCAGCAGCAACATCGGTGCCATCAGCAGTGTCGTCATTAACAGCAGCATCAGTGCCATTGTGAGCAGCTGAAGCGTCATGAGCAGCATCATCAGCATTGTAATCTTCATCCTAGCCCTGAAATTCCGTACCGGTCCTGGGCTTTCCATGGGTGGATTCAATCTCAAAAGAGTACCTGCTGCGGCGTGTAAACATCGCCACTGGGGAGACAGAGGCGGCTGGGCGTGGTGTTGGCCACGCCAGTCCCTCGTGTGCCGTGCCGGCCTTCATAGGTGCAGCTCACTAATAGCACTTGCCCTAAAAAGTCTGTTCAGGCTATACGGGGGATCTTTTCCCCGTGAGCGAGTGAGAAGAGGTGTATGGGTGGGTGGATGACTTGATGCTATAAAACAAATATCGTTGTACGGTTTCACTTTTTTAATGCTAACCAACTCTTACGACGGGACTACAGTTTGAACGTTTACTTGGGGTTGATAATCTTCAACGATGGGATGCGAGCGACAGGAAAAGGAATACACGGCCTTCGAATGACCGGTGCTTACGATGGCACACACAGATCCACACTCGCACGCACACAGACCCACACGCACTCACCCTCTCTAGCAATGGTTTAGGGAAACGGAAGACACTGAAGGGAGAAGAGAGGAACAGAAGAAGGTTCATGAGAGGGGAATTAAAAGTGAGGAAAAGTTTGTAGCTTTCCATGATAGCATCTGATGCCCCATTCCACCCATCGATGGGAACCGTGGCCCAGCTTCCTGATGGGGCAGGACCCTCCCGGAAATGCACCGTGAGGCTTAGCGAGGGTCTTCTGGGAATGTGAACGAGTTTCTTATTCATGGGATTTCCCCGGCTCGGGCTGACGCGGCACTTCCTGCTCCTATTCTCCCGGGCCAACACCTCCACGTTCCACTCCACGATCCACTCCACGCTCCACTCCACAGTCCCCTCCACGATCTGCTCCATGATCTGCTCCACGATCCCCTCCATGATCCACTCCAGGGTCCACTTGTCGATTCACTCCACGGTCTGCCCCAAAGTTCACTGTACGGTCCCCTCCATGATCTGCTCCGCAGTTCACTCCATGATCTGCTCCATGGTCCATTTCGTGATCTGCTTCAAAGTCCGCTCCACGGTCCACTCGACGGTCCCCTCCACGGTCCCCTCCACGATCTCCTCCACGATCCGTTCCATGATCCGCTCCACGATCCGCTCCATGGCCCGCTCCGCGGTCCACTCCATAATCCACTCCACGGTCTGCTCCACGATCCGTTCCGCAATCCTTCCTTACAGTGTTGTTTATTGCTGGCCGCTTGGCGTTTGTTGATTTAAAAAAAACGATATAGAATAAGAGACCTATTTGCGAATCCTCGCAATTACCCATCAGTGTGGACCTGGTCGTCAGTGCCGTCGCGTGTGCTGCTGCACCACCGTTCTGCATCAAACAAACAAGCAACCTCTTCGCTTCATAAAGCACCCGGAAATTCCACATTCCCATGGCCAGGCGGGCTGTGTTGTCGAAGGACGTGCAAGTCGTGCGAACCGTACTCCTGCGGCCCCCGTCCCGATGTCCAGAGCCGGGGCCTCACGAGCCAAATTGTTTATAAAAGCGGTTGTCCCTCCAGAGCCCACCTACATTCCCTGGGCCCCCACCGCCCTCCTGTCAGCCCCCCCCCCCCCTCCTGTCAGCCACCCATGTGGCTCCGTGGGTGGCCCTGAATGTGGGGGAGTGGAGGGGGGTAAGGGAGGGGAGGAAGGGGCCATGGGGGATTCTGTGAGTGGACCTAGCCCAGCCGGTCTGGCATGTAGCGTGTCTCCCACTCACCTCTCACCGCACACAGATCCACACATCGCTCACGGCTCACCACAGGCGGATATACATACCGCTCACCACGCACATATCCACGCACAGCGGAAAGTGCCCGCTCCCTCGCTCGACTGCTCATTGGCCCGCTCATTGGCCCGCTCGCTTGCTCACCCAACTGCTCGCTCGCTCACTCATCCCCTCCCTCCCTCGCTCGCTTGCTCACCCACCCCCTCCCTCTCTCGATTGCTCTCTCACTCACCCACCCCCTCCCTCGCTCGCTCAAAGCCGGTTTGTTATTTCTTTGCAGCAGATCGTTTTTGTTTTGTGGAAACGGAGGCACAGATGGGAAGGAGGGAGGGAGGAACTCACAAAGTAGACTGCTGTGCCTCCACGGTGTGTGTGTGTGCTGTGTCTCCACGGTGTGTGTGTGCTGTGTCTCCACGGTGTGTGTGTGTGTGTGCTGTGTCTCCACGGTGTGTGTGTGTGCTGTGTCTCCACGGTGTGTGTGTGTGTGCTGTGCCTCCACGATGTGTGTGTGTGTGTGGCTGCTGTGTCTCCACGATGTGTGTGTGTGTGCTGTGTCTCCACGGTGTGTGTGTGTGTGTGCTGTGTCTCCACGGTGTGTGTGTGTGCTGCTGTGTCTCCACGGTGTGTGTGTGTGCTGCTGTGTCTCCACGGTGTGTGTGTGTGCTGCTGTGCCTCCACGGTGTGTGTGTGTGTGTGCTGTGTCTCCACGGTGTGTGTGTGTGTGCTGTCTCCACGATGTGTGTGTGTGTGTGCTGTGTCTCCACGATGTGTGTGTGTGTGTGCTGTGTCTCCACGGTGTGTGTGTGTGTGCTGTTCCTCCACGGTGTGTGTGTGTGCTGTGTCTCCACGGTGTGTGTGTGTTTGCTGTGTCTCCACGATGTGTGTGTGCTGTGTCTCCACGGTGTGTGTGTGTGCTGTGTCTCCACGGTGTGTGTATGTGCTGTGTCTCCACGATGTGTGTGTGTGTGTGTGCTGTGTCTCCACGGTGTGTGTGTGTGAGTGCTGTGTCTCCACGGTGTGTGTGTGTGTGCTGTGTCTCCACGGTGTGTGTGTGTGAGTGCTGTGTCTCCACGGTGTGTGTGTGTGCTGCTGTGTCTCCACGGTGTGTGTGTGTGCTGCTGTGCCTCCACGGTGTGTGTGTGTGCTGCTGTGTCTCCACGGTGTGTGTGTGTGTGCTGTGTCTCCACGGTGTGTGTGTGTGCTGTGTCTCCACGGTGTGTGTGCTGTGTCTCCACGGTGTGTGTGTGTGCTGTGTCTCCACGGTGTGTGTGCTGTGTCTCCACGGTGTGTGTGTGTGCTGTGTCTCCACGGTGTGTGTGTGTGCTGTGTCTCCACGGTGTGTGTGTGCTGCTGTGTCTCCACGGTGTGTGTGTGTGCTGCTGTGTCTCCACGGTGTGTGTGTGTGTGCTGCTGTGTCTCCACGGTGTGTGTGTGTGTGTGCTGTGTCTCCACGGTGTGTGTGTGTGGGTGCTGTGTCTCCACGGTGTGTGTGTGTGCTGTGTCTCCACGGTGTGTGTGTGTGGGTGACTTTCCGTGTGTGATGCTCGGGTTGCCACCAGTCAGGGATAAATAAAACTAATAAAAATGACCACGTGGTTCCGTGTTGCCTTGTGTGGAATGGTGCGGTTGTGTGGTCGTGCGGTGCTGTGTGGTGATGGGGTTGTGCGATGGTGCGGTTTTGGTGGCGCAGGCTGCTGTGGTGGTGGTCTTCAACTTTGCCATGGTTCTGCTCATTTTCCCGTCCATCCTGAGCCTGGACCTGCAGCGCCGCGAGGAGGGGCGACTCGACCTGCTGTGCTGCTTCTACAGGTGGACTGGCACGCAGTGCCCGCACTACCACGCAGTGTTCGCACTACCACGCAGCGCTACCACGCAGTGCCCGCACTACCATGCAGCGCTAGCACGCAGCGCTACCACGCAGTGCCCGCACTACCATGCAGCACTACCATGCAGCGCTACCACGCAGCGCTACCAGGCAGTGCCCACACTACCATGCAGCACTACCACACAGTGTTCACACTACCACGCAGTGCCCGCACTACCATGCAGCACTACCATGCAGCACTACCATGCAGCACTACCACGCAGTGTTCGCACTACCATGCAGCGCTAGCACGTGGCGCTACCACGCAGTGCCCGCACTACCATGCAGCACTACCATGCAGTGTTCGCACTACCATGCAGCGCTACCACGCAGCGCCCGCACTACCATGCAGCACTACCATGCAGTGTTCGCACTACCATGCAGCGCTACCACGCAGCGCCCGCACTACCATGCAGCACTACCATGCAGCACTACCACGCAGTGCCCGGACTACCATGCAGCGCTACCACGCAGCGCCCGCACTACCATGCAGCGCCAGCATGCAGCGATACCACGCAGTGTCCGCACTACCATGCAGCACTACCACGCAGTGCCCGCACTACCATGCAGCACTACCATGCAGCACTACCACGCAGTGTTTGCACTACCATGCAGCGCTAGCACGCGGCGCTACCACGCAGTGCCCGCACTACCATGCAGCACTACCACACAGTGTTCACACTACCACGCAGTGCCCGCACTACCATGCAGCACTACCATGCAGCACTACCATGCAGTGTTCGCACTACCATGCAGCGCTACCACGCAGCGCCCGCACTACCATGCAGCACTACCATGCAGCACTACCATGCAGTGTTCGCACTACCATGCAGCGCTACCACGCAGCGCCCGCACTACCATGCAGCGCCAGCATGCAGCGATACCACGCAGTGTCTGCACTACCATGCAGCACTACCACGCAGTGCCCGCACTACCATGCAGCACTACCATGCAGCACTACCATGCAGCACTACCATGCAGCACTACCACGCAGTGTTTGCACTACCATGCAGCGCTAGCACGCGGCGCTACCACGTAGTGCCCGCACTACCATGCAGCACTACCATGCAGTGTTCGCACTACCATGCAGCGCTAGCACGCAGCGCTAGCACGCAGTGCCCGCACTACCATGCAGCACTACCATGCAGCACTACCACGCAGTGTTCGCACTACCATGCAGCACTACCACATAGCGCTAGCACGCAGTGTTCGCACTACCACGCAGTGCCCGCACTACCATGCAGCACTACCACGCAGTGCCCGCACTACCATGCAGCACTACCACGCAGTGTCCGCACTATCATGCAGCACTACCATGCAGCACTACCACATAGCGCTAGCACGCAGTGTTCGCACTACCACGCGGTTCCCACACTACCATGCGGCACTAGCACGCAGTGCTACCACGCAGTGCCCGCACTACCACGCAGTGCCTGCACTACCATTCACTAGCACACAGCGCTACCACGCACCCTGTGGTGTCAGTGCGGTGTGTGCTGCATGCACACACGAGGGTGGAGCAGTTGTGACGCTCGCGCCTCACATCAGGAAGCACCTGGGTTCGATTCCTGACTCGGGCACCTTTCTGCAAGCAGTTTGTATGTTCTCCCCCAGTTCTACACCCCAGTGACGATTATTTGCGTAGACTCAGCCTCAAATGAGTACTTGCTGCGATGTGTAAACATCACCACTCGGGAGACAAAGGCGGCCGGGCATGGTGCTGGCCACCCACCCCCTGGTATGCGGTGCTGGCCTTCATAGGCGCTACTCGATCACAGCACTTGCCTCAACCGTCGTCTAGAGGCTATACGGGAGGCCTTTGTCTATTTTCTCCTCTGCACGGGTTTCCTCCAGGTTCTTCGATTTGCTCCCATGGCTAAAACAAAGTGACACGCAATGTCAGCGGTATTGACCACCACAACATCCCCGATGCTGGAACATCGCCTACAAATGACCCAACTGGAATCGCACAGCGGCGGCGGCAGCAGCAGCAGCAATCGGCCCACCGTACTGCTGCGACAAGCATGGCAGGACCCTCCTGGGTAAACAAGCAGAGCGATGATGATGACGATCATAATAACGACTGTGACTATTGCGTGTGTTGCGTGTCGTGTGTGTGTCGTGCGTGTGCACTGCGTGCGACCGCAGTCCGAGCGCGATGCGGCCCTCGCGGCCGCAGGCGCCGGCGTTCCGCGAGTTGGCCGCCGCCGCGGCCGCCGCGGCCGCCGCGGCCGCAGGGGGCGACGTGTCCCCCCCGCCGCCCTACAGCAGCCCCACCGGCTTCCCCGAAACCCACATCACCATGCACTCCACCGTGGAGGTGAGCGCACCCTCCCCGCACCCCCACGTCGCCCCCTCGCCCTGCTAGGGGTTCCGCGCCGCCGCGCGCGGCGTGCAGCTTGGGCGGACTGCGTCGAGGCGTTTGGGGATTTTTTTTTGGGACCGCGCGGAATCGTTCGGAACCGTTCAGTGCGGCAATGCACCGCGAAGCGACGCCCTGACCCTCGCCCCGACCGTCGCCCTCGCCGCGACCCAGGTGCAGTACGACCCCGCGAGCCAGCAGTGCGTGACCACCGTGCACCCGTGCACCGAGGTCACGTTCCGGCCGCGCTCGCTCGGCCCGGAGCCGTCCGTCGCTCTGACGGCGACGTCGTCGTCGTCGTCGTCGCCGGCGTCGTCGTCCGGCACGGTCGTCGTCCCGGAGTCGGCGAGTTCCACGCGCGACCTCCTCGCCGACCACGGCGCGACCGCGGCGTACGGAACGGACGAAGGCGACGACGGCGGCGGCGACGGCGATGGTGGTGGCGGTGGCGGGCCGTGGGGAGGGTGGCCGGCCGGCTGGGGGGCGAGCGAGCGGCCTCCGCCTGCGTGGACGCGGTGGAACCTGCAGGAGTTTGCGCGGACGCGGTACGCGCCCTGGCTGCTGCTGCGCAGGACTAAGGTGAGAGTGGTGCGTGAGTGGCGAGTGAGTGGCGAGTGAGTGCCGCGTGAGTGGCGAGTGAGTGGCGAGTGAGTGGCGAGTGAGTGGAGAGTGAGTGGCGAGTGAGTGGCGAGTGAGTGGCGCGTGAGTGGCGAGTGAGTGGCGAGTGAGTGGCGAGTGAGTGCCGCGTGAGTGCCGCGTGAGTGGCGAGTGAGTGGCGGGTGAGTGCCGGGTGAGTGGCGAGTGAGTGCCGCGTGAGTGGCGAGTGAGTGGCGGGTGAGTGCCGGGTGAGTGGCGAGTGAGTGCCGCGTGAGTGGCGAGTGAGTGGCGGGTGAGTGCCGGGTGAGTGGCGAGTGAGTGGCGGGTTAGTGGCGAGTGAGTGGCGGGTGAGTGCCAGGTGAGTGGCGAGTGAGTGGCGGGTTAGTGGCGGGTGAGTGCCGGGTGAGTGGCGAGTGAGTGCCGCGTGAGTGGCGCGTGAGTGGCGCGTGAGTGGCGCGTGAGTGGCGAGTGAGTGGAGAGTGAGTGGCGAGTGAGTGCCGCGTGAGTTCCGCGTGAGTGGCGAGTGAGTGGCGGGTGAGTGCCGGGTGAGTGGCGAGTGAGTGCCGCGTGAGTGGCGAGTGAGTGGCGGGTGAGTGCCGGGTGAGTGGCGAGTGAGTGGCGGGTTAGTGGCGAGTGAGTGGCGGGTGAGTGCCAGGTGAGTGGCGAGTGAGTGGCGGGTTAGTGGCGAGTGAGTGGCGGGTGAGTGCCGGGTGAGTGGCGAGTGAGTGCCGCGTGAGTGGCGCGTGAGTGGCGCGTGAGTGGCGCGTGAGTGGCGAGTGAGTGGCGCGTGAGTGGCGAGTGAGTGCCGCGTGAGTGGCGAGTGAGTGGCGAGTGAGTGCCGCGTGAGTGGCGAGTGAGTGGCGCGTGAGTGGCGCGTGAGTGGCGAGTGAGTGGCGAGTGAGTGCCACGTGAGTGGCGAGTGAGTGGCGCGTGAGTGGCGCGTGAGTGGCGCGTGAGTGGCGCGTGAGTGGCGAGTGAGTGGCGAGTGAGTGGCGAGTGAGTGGCGAGTGAGTGCCGCGTGAGTGGCGAGTGAGTGGCGAGTGAGTGGCGCGTGAGTGGCGCGTGAGTGCCGCGTGAGTGCCGCGTGAGTGGCGAGTGAGTGGCGAGTGAGTGGCGAGTGAGTGCCGCGTGAGTGCCGCGTGAGTGGCGAGTGAGTGGCGAGTGAGTGGCGCGTGAGTGCCGCGTGAGTGGCGAGTGAGTGCCGCGTGAGTGCCGCGTGAGTGGCGAGTGAGTGGCGAGTGAGTGGCGCGTGAGTGGCGCGTGAGTGGCGAGTGAGTGCCGCGTGAGTGGCGAGTGAGTGGCGAGTGAGTGCCGAGTGAGTGGCGCGTGAGTGCCGCGTGAGTGCCGCGTGAGTGCCGCGTGAGTGCCGCGTGAGTGGCGGGTGAGTGACGGGTGAGTGGCGAGTGAGTGCCGCGTGAGTGCCGCGTGAGTGGCGAGTGAGTGGCGAGTGAGTGGCGCGTGAGTGGCGCGTGAGTGGCGAGTGAGTGGCGAGTGAGTGCCGCGTGAGTGGCGAGTGAGTGGCGCGTGAGTGCCGCGTGAGTGCCGCGTGAGTGGCGAGTGAGTGCCGCGTGAGTGGCGCGTGAGTGGCGAGCGAGTGCCGCGTGAGTGCCGCGTGAGTGGCGCGCGCGCGATGCTTTGCCCGCGAGCGAGCGGTGAGCGAGCGGTGCCACTACCCCCCGCCCCCCCCCGCAGGTGGCCGTGCTGAGCGCGTTCATGTGCCTGCTGGCGCTGTGCCTGTATGGCACGACGCGCGTGCGCGACGGCCTCGGCCTGGCCGACGTGGTCCCGCGCGGCACGCGCGAGCACGCCTTCCTCACGGCGCAGGCGGCCTACTTCTCGGTGTACGGGGCCTACCTGGTCACCACCGAGGGCGTGGACTACCCCCGCGCCCAGGAGAGCCTCTACCGGCTGCACGACGCCCTGCACGGCCTCCCCTACACGCTGCGGGGCCCCGACGGCGCCCTGCCCCGTACCTGGCTTCACCACTTCCGCGACTGGCTGCAGGGTGAGCGCGCGCCGCTCGCCACCGTCGCGCGGCTCGGCACGGCAGATAGCCATCGTGGTTCCGGCGAGCATCCGGGGTCCGTGAGCGTGACCGTACCGCCCTGTCCCCCGTATCGCCTTAAACGCCGCACTGTTGGGGCCAGTGCCGTTAGCGAGTAGCGCCTATGATGGCCGGCACGGCGCACGAGAGGGTGGATGGCCAGCACCACGCTCGGCCCCAGTGGCGATGTTCACCAACGGCACCGGGTAACCATTTGAGGCCGGGGGGAGGCCCAGGACCGGTTCAGATAATCATCGGTGCTTACCCTGAGCGGGAATCAAGCCCTTGTCGCTTGGTTCTTAGTGCGGCGCGCTAACCGTTGCACCGCCGCTCCCCACCCCTTCCACCCACCCCCTCCACACCCGCCACGCCGCACCCCCCAGGACTGCAGGTGGCATTCGATGAGGACTGGCGATCCGGCCGCATCCGCCGGGACGAGTTCCATAACGGCTCCGACGACGGCGTGCTGGCGTACATGCTTCTCATCCAGACGGGCGACGCCAGCGCGCCCTTCGACTACGCCCAGGTACGGCCACACGACGGCCGCGGCCGCGAACCACGGCGCCGATGCCGAGGACCAAAATCCGAAACCGCGTCCCTGGGGAGAACCCCGCGGGTCGTGCCACGCGACGGCGTCACCCCGACGATGGCGTTTGTCCCTCCGGGGGTCGTTCATTTCACGGCGCGCGAGCGGTCGGGGCACAGCGCGGCTGTCGCGTTCTGCACGCGGTCCTTTTCGCGCTCTGCACTTTTGCGCGTGCGAGTTTTCCCCCGTCCGGGACGTTGCGCCCGGAGAGAAGCGGCCGCGTTGACCGGTGACAAGCCCGTGGTAAGAGGGCTCCCCTGCTCTCCGCGCGACGCCACGCGCTCGCTCTCCTGTGACGCCGCTCGTCGCGCTCGGCCCGTCGTGGCGAACTGTCCGGGGAAGGGTGCCTGCCGGGGAGACGGGAGCGGCAGTATCAGCCCGGGCGGACTCGCGTGACTCCGTCTCCCTTGGCCCCCGGCAGTTGCAGAGCCGGCGGCTGGTGAACGAGCGGGGCCTGGTGGACGTCGACGGCTTCTACACCTTCCTCACGGCCTGGGTGACCAACGACCCGCTGGCCTACGCCGCCTCGCAGGCCAACCTGCGGCCCGAGCCCCCCGAGTGGCTCTTCAGCCGCTTCAACACCGCGCCCGACGTCATGCGCAGTGAGTGCCGTCGTCGCCGTCGTCGTCGCCGTCAATCACGACGACGGACAACAATCGGCGTCGCCGCTTGCGCCAGGCTAGGTGCGCCTCGAGGCTGTCGCGCGACATGTCGAAGGCTCCGCCGCCGCTTGGCGGGAGGTCGCGGGACAGACCCAGGTGCCGTGGGTTGACTGGCTGAGATGACTGGCAGACGCACCGCACGCTCGCTTGAGGCCTCTCGCTAACCGTAGGCAGTGTGCTACTTTGTCAATGTCACGGTGCGCTGATGTGGCGGGGGCAGTTTGCCAGTGTCCCGCTGTGACGGTGTCTCACTGTGTCGGTGTGTCACTGTGTCACTGTGTCGGTGTGTCACCGTGTCACTGTGTCGGTGTGTCACCGTGTCACTGTGACGGTGTGTCACCGTGTCACTGTGACGGTGTATCACTGTGTCACTGTGTCGGTGTGTCACTGTGTCACTGTGACGGTGTGTCACTGTGACGGTGTGTCACTGTGCCAGTGTGTCACTGTGTCACCGTGTCACTGTGACGGTGTGTCACCGTGTCACTGTGTCACTGTGACCGTGTGTCACTGTGTCACTGTGCTGGTGTGTCACTGTGTCACTGTGACGGTGTGTCACCGTGTCACTGTGTCGGTGTGTCACCGTGTCACCGTGTCGGTGTGTCACCGTGTCACTGTGCCGGTGTGTCACCGTGTCACTGTGCCGGTGTGTCACTGTGTCACCGTGTCACTGTGACGGTGTGTCACTGTGCCGGTGTGTCACTGTGTCACTGTGCTGGTGTGTCACTGTGCCGGTGTGTCACTGTGTCAGTGTCGGTGTGTCACTGTGTCACTGTGACGGTGTGTCACTGTGACGGTGTGTCACTGTGTCACTGTGACGGTGTGTCACTGTGACGGTGTGTCACCGTGTCACTGTGACGGTGTGTCACTGTGACGGTGTGTCACTGTGTCACCGTGTCACTGTGTCACCGTGTCACTGTGACGGTGTGTCACTGTGTCACTGTGACGGTGTGTCACTGTGCCGGTGTGTCACCGTGTCACTGTGACGGTGTGTCACTGTGTCACCGTGTCACTGTGCCGGTGTGTCACCATGTCACTGTGACGGTGTGTCACTGTGCTGGTGTGTCACCGTGTCACCGTGTCACTGTGACGGTGTGTCACCGTGTCACTGTGACGGTGTGTCACCGTGTCACTGTGCTGGTGTGTCACCGTGTCACTGTGACGGTGTGTCACCGTGTCACTGTGACGGTGTGTCACCGTGTCACTGTGACGGTGTGTCACCGTATCACTGTGTCACTGTGACGGTGTGTCACTGTGTCACTGTGACGGTGTGTCACCGTATCACTGTGTCACTGTGACGGTGTGTCACTGTGTCACCGTGTCACTGTGTCACCGTGTCACCGTGTCACTGTGACGGTGTGTCACTGTGTCACCGTGTCACCGTGTCACTGTGTCACCGTGTCACTGTGACGGTGTGTCACCGTGTCACTGCGTCGGTGTGTCACCGTGTCACTGTGACGGTGTGTCACTGCGTCACTGTGACGGTGTGTCACTGTGACGGTGTGTCACTGCGTCGGTGTGTCACCGTGTCACTGCGTCGGTGTGTCACCGTGTCACTGTGACGGTGTGTCACTGCGTCACTGTGACGGTGTGTCACTGTGACGGTGTGTCACTGCGTCGGTGTGTCACCGTGTCACTGTGCCGGTGTGTCACCGTGTCACTGTGTCGGTGTATCACTGTGTCACTGTGACGGTGTGTCACTGTGCCGGTGTGTCACCGTGTCACTGTGCCGGTGTGTCACCGTGTCACTGTGTCGGTGTGTCACCGTGTCACTGTGTCGGTGTGTCACTGTCACTGTAACGGTGTGTCACTGTGTCACTGTGCTGGTGTGTCACTGTGTCACCGTGTCACTGTGCCGGAGTGTCACTGTGTCACTGTGTCACCGTGTTACCGTGTCACTGTGCCGGTGTGTCACTGTGTCACTGTGCTGGTGTGTCACCGTGTCACCGTGTCACTGTGACGGTGTGTCACTGTGTCACTGTGACGGTGTGTCACTGTGACGGTGTGTCACTGTGTCACTGTGACGGTGTGTCACTGTGCCGGTGTGTCACCGTGTCACTGTGCCGGTGTGTCACTGTGACGGTGTGTCACTGTGTCACCGTGTCACTGTGACGGTGTGTCACCGTGTCACTGTGACGGTGTGTCACTGTGTCACTGTGACGGTGTGTCACCGTGTCACTGTGTCGGTGTGTCACCGTGTCACTGTGTCGGTGTGTCACTGTGTCACTGTGACGGTGTGTCACTGTGTCACTGTGACGGTGTGTCACTGTGACGGTGTGTCACTGTGTCACTGTGACGGTGTGTCACTGTGTCACTGTGACGGTGTGTCACTGTGACGGTGTGTCACTGTGTCACTGTGACGGTGTGTCACTGTGTCACTGTGACGGTGTGTCACTGTGACGGTGTTTCACTGTGTCACTGTGACGGTGTGTCACCGTGTCACTGTGTCACCGTGTCACTGTGACGGTGTGTCACCGTGTCACTGTGACAGTGTGTCACCGTGTCACTGTGACGGTGTGTCACCGTGTCACTGTGTCACCGTGTCACTGTGACGGTGTGTCACCGTGTCACCATGTCACTGTGTCGCTCCGTCAGTCTGTCGCTGTGTCGCTTGCCGCTGTGCTGGCGGGGTAGCTCACTGAGTGGCGTGCGGCTGCTCCTCATTAGAGGCGGTGAAACCGCAACGCGTAAACGCCGGCACCTTGAGGAAGCGAGCGCCGTGCGGCCGCACACCGCCCCAAACGGGATTACTCCGAGGGGGGGCGGGCGGGAGGGAGTGGATGGTGGGGGCGGAGAGAGAAGGAGCCGGGGAGAAAACGGTTTAGGGGGCAGGGAAGAGCGAGGTGGTTAGGGAGATGGCGGGGGTGCATGGTGTGCTTTGTGTGCCTGTGTGTCTGTGTGCGTGTGTGTAGGTCAGTGTGTGTGTAGGTCAGTGTGTGTGTGTGCGTGCGTGTAGGTCAGTGTGTGTGTAGGTCAGTGTGTGTGTAGGTCAGTGTGCGTGTAGGTCAGTGTGCGTGTAAGTCAGTGTGTGTGTAGGTCAGTGTGCGTGTAGGTCAGTGTGTGTGTAGGTCAGTGTGCGTGTAGGTCAGTGTGTGTGTCTGTGTGCGTGCGTGTAGGTCAGTGTGTGTGTAGGTCAGTGTGTGTGTAGGTCAGTGTGTGTGTAGGTCAGTGTGCGTGTAGGTCAGTGCGTGTGTAGGTCAGTGTGTGTGTAGGTCAATGTGCATGTAGGTCAGTGTGCGTGTAGGTCAGTGTGCGTGTAGGTCAGTGTGTGTGTCTGTGTGCGTGCGTGTAGGTCAGTGTGTGTGTAGGTCAGTGTGTGTGTAGGTCAGTGTGCGTGTTGGTCAGTGTGTGTGTAGGTCAGTGTGTGTGTAGGTCAGTGTGCGTGTAGGTCAGTGTGTGTGTAGGTCAGTGCACGTGTAGGTCAGTGTGTGTGTTGGTTAGTGTGTGTGTAGGTCAGTGTGTGTGTCTGTGTGCGTGCGTGTAGGTCAGTGTGTGTGTAAGTCAGTGTGTGTGTAGGTCAGTGTGCATGTAGGTCAGTGTGCGTGTAGGTCAGTGTGTGTGTAGGTCAGTGTGTGTGTAGGTCAGTGCGTGTGTAGGTCAGTGCGTGTAGGTCAGTGTGCATGTAGGTCAGTGTGCGTGTAGGTCAGTGTGCGTGTAGGTCAGTGTGCGTGTAGGTCAGTGTGCGTGTAGGTCAGTGTGCGTGTAGGTCAGTGTGCGTGTAGGTCAGTGTGCGTGTAGGTCAGTGCGCGTGTAGGTCAGTGCGCGTGTAGGTCAGTGCGCGTGTAGGTCAGTGTGCGTGTAGGTCAGTGTGCGTGTAGGTCAGTGTGCGTGTAGGTCAGTGTGCGTGTAGGTCAGTGTGTGTGTAGGTCAGTGTGCGTGTAGGTCAGTGTCTGTGTAGGTCAGTGTGCGTGTAGGTCAGTGTGTGTGTAGGTCAGTGCACGTGTAGGTCAGTGTGTGTGTTGGTTAGTGTGTGTGTAGGTCAGTGTGTGTGTCTGTGTGCGTGCGTGTAGGTCAGTGTGTGTGTAGGTCAGTGTGTGTGTAAGTCAGTGTGTGTGTAGGTCAGTGTGTGTGTAGGTCAGTGTGTGTGTAGGTCAGTGTGTGTGTAGGTCAGTGTGTGTGTAGGTCAGTGTGCGTGTAGGTCAGTGTGCGTGTAGGTCAGTGTGTGTGTAGGTCAGTGTGCGTGTAGGTCAGTGTGTGTGTAGGTCAGTGTGTGTGTAGGTCAGTGTGTGTGTAGGTCAGTGCGTGTAGGTCAGTGTGCGTGTAGGTCAGTGCGTGTGTAGGTCAGTGCGTGTAGGTCAGTGCACGTGTAGGTCAGTGCGTGTGTCTGTGTGCGTGCGTGTAGGTCAGTGTGCGTGTAGGTCAGTGCACGTGTAGGTCAGTGCGTGTGTCTGTGTGCGTGCGTGTAGGTCAGTGTGTGTGTAGGTCAGTGTGTGTGTAGGTCAGTGCGTGTAGGTCAGTGTGTGTGTAGGTCAGTGTGCGTGTAGGTCAGTGCGTGTAGGTCAGTGTGCATGTAGGTCAGTGTGTGTGTAGGTCAGTGTGCGTGTAGGTCAGTGCGCGTGTAGGTCAATGTGCGTGTAGGTCAGTGTGTGTGTAGGTCAGTGTGCGTGTAGGTCAGTGTGCGTTTAGGTCAGTGTGCGTGTAGGTCAGTGTGCGTGTAGTTCAGTGTGCGTGTAGGTCAGTGTGTGTGTAGGTCAGTGTGCGTGTAGGTCAGTGTGCGTGTAGGTCAGTGTGCGTGTAGGTCAGTGTGCGTGTAGGTCAGTGCACGTGTAGGTCAGTGTGCGTGTAGGTCAGTGTGCGTGTAGGTCAGTGCACGTGTAGGTCAGTGTGCGTGTAGGTCAGTGTGCGTGTAGGTCAGTGTGCGTGTAGGTCAGTGTGCGTGTAGGTCAGTGTGCGTGTAGGTCAGTGTGCGTGTAGGTCAGTGTGCGTGTAGGTCAGTGTGCGTGTAGGTCAGTGCGCGTGTAGGTCAGTGCGCGTGTAGGTCAGTGCGCGTGTAGGTCAGTGCGCGTGTAGGTCAGTGTGCGTGTAGGTCAGTGTGCGTGTAGGTCAGTGTGCGTATAGGTCAGTGTGCGTGTAGGTCAGTGTGCGTGTAGGTCAGTGTGCGTGTAGGTCAGTGTGCGTGTAGGTCAGTGTGCGTGTAGGTCAGTGCACGTGTAGGTCAGTGCACGTGTAGGTCAGTGCGCGTGTAGGTCAGTGTGCGTGTAGGTCAGTGTGCGTGTAGGTCAGTGTGCGTGTAGGTCAGTGTGCGTGTAGGTCAGTGTGCGTGTAGGTCAGTGTGCGTGTAGGTCAGTGTGTGTGTGGAGTCGTGGTGCAGCCGTTAGTGCATTGCGTTACGAACCTGGCGACCAAAGTTCGATTTCCCGCTCACGGTCAATGCCGGCGAAGAATATCAAACCCGGTCCTGGGCCTCCTCTAGGTCGACTCAGCCTTCATTGTGCACCTGGTGCGGTGCATTGGGGAGACAAAGGCGGCCGGATGTGGAGCTGGCGACACCACACCGCTTATACAGCGAGGGAACAAAGTATTTGATGCCCTGCTGATTTTGTACGTTTGCCCACTGACAAAGAAATGATCAGTCTATAATTTTAATGGTAGGTTTATTCGAACAGTGAGAGACGGAATAACAACAACAACATCCAGAAAAACGCATGTCAGAAATGTTATAAATTGATTTGCATTTTAATGAGGGAACTAAGTATTTGACCCCTCTGCAAAACATGACTTAGTACTTGGTGGCAAAACCCTTGTTGGCAATCACAGAGGTCAGACATTTCTTGTAGTTGGCCACCAGGTTTGCACACATCTCAGGGGGGATTTTGTCCCACTCCTCTTTGCAGATCTTCTCCAAGTCATTAAGGTTTCGAGGCTGACGTTTGGCAACTCGAACCTTCAGCTCCCTCCACAGATCTTCTATGGGATTAAGGTCTGGAGACTGGCTAGGCCACTCCAGGACCTTAATGTGCTTCTTCTTGAGCCACTCCTTTGTTGCCTTGGCCGTGTGTTTTGGGTCATTGTCATGCTGGAATACCCATCCACGACCCATTTTCAATGCCCTGGCTGAGGGAAGGAGGTTCACACCCATGATTTGACAATACAATATCGTCCCTTTGATGCGGTGAACTTGTCATGTCCCCTTAGGGTGTGTTTCCACCTCCATGTTTGACGGTGGGGATGGTGTTCTTGGGGTCATAGGCAGCATTCCTCCTCCTCTAAACACGGTGAATTGAGTTGATGCCAAAGAGCTCCATTTTGGTCTCATCTGACCACAACACTTTCACCCAGTTGTCCTCTGAATCATTCAGATGTTCATTGGCAAACTTCAGACGGGCATGTATATGTGCTTTCTTGAGTAGGGGGACCTTGCGGGCACTGCAGGATTTCAGTCCTTCACGGCGTAGTGTGTTACCAATTGTTTTCTTGGTGACTATGGTCCCAGCTGCCTTGAAATCATTGACAAGATCCTCCCCTGTAGTTCTGGGCTGATTCCTCACCGTTCTCATGATCATTGCAACTCCACGAGGTGAGATCTTGCATGGAGCCCCAGGCTGAGGGAGATTGACAGTTCTTTTATGTTTCTTCCATTTGCGAATAATCGCACCAACTGTTGTCACCTTCTCACCAAGCTGCTTGGCAATGGTCTTGTAGCCCATTCCAGCCTTGTGTGGGTCTACAATCTTGTCCCTGACATCCTTGGAGAACTCTTTGGTCTTGGCCATGGTGGAGAGTTTGGAATCTGATTGATTGATTGCTTCTGTAGACAGGTGTCTTTTATATAGGTAATGAGCTGAGATTAGGAGCACTCCCTTTAAGAGTGTGCTCCTAATCTCAGCTCGTTACCTGTATAAAAGACACCTGGGAGCCAGAAATCTTTCTGATTGAGAGGGGTTCAAATACTTATTTCCCTCATTAAAATGCAAATCAATTTATAACATTTTTGACATGCGTTTTTCTGGATTTTGTTGTTGCTATTCTGTCTCTCACTTGTTCAAATACACCTACCATTAAAATTATAGACTGATCATTTCTTTATCAGTGGGCAAACGTACAAAATCAGCAGGGGATCAAATACTTTTTTCCCTCGCTGTAGGTGTCCCGTGCTGGCCTACGTGGGTCCACGCCAACAGCACTTTCCCCGACGGCCAGTTAAAGGCTACACGGGGGATCTTTGTCTTTGTCTGTGTGGGGTAGCTGGCTGGTTCTGGTGGGGGCTCACCCTCTCAGAGAGAGGGAGTGGGGAGGGAGTGTGGGGCGGGGTGGCGAGAGTGTGTGCGTGCGTGGCACGGGGCCAACCACCATGCGAAATTTACTGCACAAATTACAAACAGGTTTCGCCGGTGGTGCCGTTGAGGGCGCTGGCGATGTGGGAAAGGCCACCGGCTGAGAGGGTGCCAGCGCTCCCCCCACCCCCACTGATGCCCCCCCCCCCACCACCTATCCCCCCCAGCCAGCCAGCCAGAGAGCCACCGTGTGGTTTTACCTTTCCAAGGGCACTGCGATCGTAGAGAAAGTTCAACGTCCGTCGCTCAATATTTCACGCCGGATTATTGGGTGGAGGGGCCGTATTGATATCCATCCAGCAGTGGATGGTTCGTGATCCATAATAAAACCAGCCAAGGTTGCGAATTCAAATCCTGGGATCGATAGAATGAGCACCACTCTGTGGAGAAGTCAACAGTGACCGTCCTCTGGATAGACTTGCCTCCGTCATATGACTGTGGAATTCCCACCACTGGCTCTGACATGAGCACCGATGCCACGATGCTCGTTTGTGTAGCAGCGGGAACTCATTGAATTGCTGAGCTGCGTTTCTCAAGCGATGTCTATTCACGTTTATTTAGCTCCGTTTACTCAAGTGACGTTCAAAGAGGTCTGTGAGCAAAACTCTAAGCGTCTCTTTGTAAAGCCTACGGGTTTCTTTTGCGAGTTCGGGGGTCTCTATGAGAGTTACTGGTGACTGGCTCAGACCCATCAACTCGCTACACTTGAGACCCCGGTTCAATCACAGGCAGTGGCTGCAACCGGATTGGAACCCTGGATCTCAGCTGTGCTAGCTCAGCGCCCTGACCTCTCAGCCACTTTCTTTCCTTATTTTTTTTCCCCTCCACGTAAAAATATTTATTTTTGTTTACACATCCACGCAGCCACCACGACCTTCTGGGAGCGCATCCTTGAACAGCCGCATCTGTACAAAACAAACAAAACTGTGGACCGGCCTCCACGTTCAGCCTCTCATCAGCAGAGTCGGGCTCGCTTGACCCAACGCTCCTAACGGCCCCCCCCCACCCCGTCTTCTCTCCTCCGCTCGCTGTCTCTCCACCCCGACCCTCCCCCCAGTCAAGCCGGCGGAGCGGATCGAGTTTGCTCAGCTGCCCTTCTACCTGGCGGGGCTGTCGGAGTCAGCGGACCACGTGCGCGCCATTGAGCGCGTGCGCGCCGTCTGCGAGAGCTTTGCCGCCGGCGGGCTGCCCAGCTACCCGGCCGGGTACCCCTTCCTCTTCTGGGAGCAGTACGTGGGCCTGCGCCACTGGCTGTTGCTGGCGCTCAGCGTGGGGCTGGCCTGCACCTTCCTCGTGTGTGCCCTCCTGCTGCTCAACCCCTGGACCGCTGGGCTGCTGGTGAGAGGGCGATGGTGGCGGTGGTGGCGGTGGTGATGGTGGTGATGGGGGTGGCAGTGATGGCGGTGGTGGTGGCGGCGGCGGTGATGGTGGTGGTTGATGCTGGCGGTGGTGGTGGTGGTGATGGGGGTGGCAGTGATTGTGTTGGTGGTGGTGCCTTTACCTTAAGGGTACGACACCTTCATCTTACTCTTCGTGTCTCTTTCTGATCATCGGCCTGTCCGTGCATCTTTGTCTCCATGTCTCTGTTCGTCAGTCTTTCTGTGCATCTCTCTCCATCCGTGTGTCTGTCTCTTCCTCATGACTCGCAGTCTGAAGGGGCCTGGGTTCGATTCCTGACCTGGCCGCCTTGCTGTGTAGAGTTTGTATTTTCTCCCCCCTGTTCTGCATGGGTTTCCTCCAGATTGGAATCGTGATCCTGCATTGCGATTCGTTACTCGGTTAAAAGTGAGCGCTGCCCCAATTGTCCCGGGTTTTCGGGCAGCCTCAGTGCTACAAATACAAAGATCCCCCATATAGGCTTTAGCTGTTGGGGCAAGTGCGGTGAGCAAGAACCCATAAGGGCTGGCACGGCACGCTTATGAGGAGGTTGGTGGCCAGCACCACGCCCGGCCGCCTTTGTCTCCCAAGTGCTGGCGTTTAATTCACTTAAAACCAGGTACTCGGTTAACGGCTGAGTCGACCTAGGGGAGACCCAAGACCGATGCGGATATTCGCCGTCACCGATGTTGGCCGTCAGCGGGAATGGAACTCTGTTGCTGGGTTCATAGCACGGTGCACTAACCACTTTGCCACCGCTCCTCGCGCACACACACACACGCGTACGAACACGCGCACATTGAGCAGGTAATGTGTGTGTGTGCCACACGTGGGAGGGGGTTGGAGGAGGTGGGGAGGGGTTGGTGGGGAGGCATGCCACGTGCATGTGCTCACACTTCACGCGTCGCACTAATGCTCGCACGCACGCACGTGTGCACGCATACCACACACGCACGCACGCTAGTTAACCTGCTCGCACACCAACAACAGCAACGGCCGTCATTCACGTCGCAACAGCACTTGTGCCAGGCTAGGTGCGCTGGTCGCACACGCGCGCACGTGCGCACACACATGCACACCTATACCCCTGTCCTCCTCCTCCACACGTTTGTTTCCTGTCCGTACAGCTACGTCACACGAATGCATTCCCGAGATTCCTGCGTGAAATGCACGCGCACGCATGCGCATGCGTGCGCATGCGTGCGCGTGCGCGTGTTCGTGTCTCTGTGGGTGAGTGGTGGCACGGCGGTTAGCGCACTGCACTACCTACAAAACCGGGCCACCTGAGTTCGATTCCCGTTTTCAGCCAACGTTGACCTAGGGGGGAGGCCCATGACCGGTTCAGAAAATCATCACCGGCGTTGGTCGTGAGCGGGATTCGAACACGGGTCGCCGGGTTCGTATCGCAGCGTGCTAACCGGTGCCACCGCTGCCCAGACGCACCTACACATGCACACCTACACACACAGCTACACACGCACACCTACACACGCACACCTACACACACAGCTACACACGCACACCTACACACGCACACCTACACACACAGCTACACGCGCACACCTACACACGCACACCTATACACACAGCTACACGCGCACACCTACACACGCAGCTACACACGCACACCTACACACGCAGCTACACACGCAGCTACACACGCACACCTACACACACAGCTACACGCGCACACCTACACACACAGCTACACACGCACACCTACACACGCACACCTACACACAGCTACACGCGCACACCTACACACGCACACCTATACACACAGCTACACGCGCACACCTACACACGCAGCTACACACGCACACCTACACACACAGCTACACGCGCACACCTACACACACAGCTACACACGCACACCTACACACACACTCAGCTACACACGCACACCTACACATGCACACCTATACACACAGCTACACGCGCACACCTACACACGCACACCTACACACACAGCTACACGCGCACACCTACACACACAGCTACACACGCACACCTACACACACACTCAGCTACACGCGCACACCTACACACACAGCTACACACGCACACCTACACACGCACACCTTCACACACAGCTACACACGCACACCTACACACGCACACCTACACACAGGTACACGCGCACACCTACACACACAGCTACACGCGCACACCTACACACACAGCTACACGCGCACACCTACACACACAGCTACACGCGCACACCTACACGCGCACACCTACACACACAGCTACACACGCACACCTACACAGGCACACCTTCACACACAGCTACATGCGCACACCTACACACGCACACCTACACACACAGCTACACGCGCACACCTACACACGCACACCTACACACACAGCTAAACGCGCACACCTACACGCACAGCTAAACGCGCACGTGCGGGCCGGATTATGAGATCCACCCCAAGCGTGTGCTAGGGACCGCAGGGAGAGCTCCTTGCCATGTCGACTCTTTCCAGTGTTTTGGCCGGCGATCTTTACGTGTCCATCGACAACCGTTCGTACCATAGGTGCCCTCTGGGAGGTCAATTAATACAATTTTCCTGCGCCAATTAATGTATACACGCATGGTTGGAAGAGTGGAATGGTAATGCCTCGCGTGAAAACATCCCAATGGTTCTGAGCGCAAATGTCGCTTGTTTCACATTTTGTGCATTCCGATGGCTGGCGTGCGTGCGTGCGTGTGTGCGTGCGTGCGTGTGTGCGTGTGTGCGTGCGTGTTGTGAACGACAGACACGTACTTAGGCTCGTGACTCCGCGATCGCAGGGAGTCGAGTAACGTTCGTGACTCCGCGGGGCTTCCCTCCTCGCCCCCTCCCCCCACACAACCCCCCCCCACCTACCCCTTCCGCTGAACGAGGAACTTCTTCTTCGTGCGTGCGAACGTGCGTATGTGTGAGTGAGTGCGTGTTTGCACGTGCGTACGTGTGAGCGCGTGCGTGTGTGCACTTGCGTACGTGTGAGTGTGTGCGTGTGTGCACGTGTGCGCACGCATGTGCGTGCGTGTGTGTTGGGAAAACTCCCTTATGGAATGTGTTAGAACACAGAGGCGTGAAATTGGATTGTGACCGGACTGTGTGGGGAGAAGAGGGATGGTGAGGAGTTTGGAATGGCGTGGGTGCGTGCGTGCGTGCGTCTGTATGACTGGGCAAAGTTCTGTTCACGAGCATGAGGGGTGGTGCTGTGACCAGCAACACCCACAGCCACCTTTGTCTCCCCAATGCTGATTTTTTTTTTCCGCACTGTGCCACGTACTCAGTAACTGTTGAACCGACCTGGAGAAGGCCCCGGACCGGTTGAGATAATCCTCACCGTTGTTGGCTGGTGAACGTGAATTGAACTCGGGTCGCCGGGGTCAAAGCGCAGTGCGCTAACCACCTATCCGCTCTTAGGGCTGATCTCAGTCTTTGTGTATATATATATTTCGTTGTGTGGATGCTGTCTCTTCTGCGCCCACGTTTAACTGTCGCCCTCTCCCAACCAATACCAATACCCGCGCCATTCGCCACTAAGTGACGGTGACGTCACCATGGCGCCTGTGCTAGGCAAGGTGCACGTGAAGTGTCGAAGGCTCGCTGACAGGAGGTGTTTGTTGTTGTTGTTTGTCCTTTCCCAAAACACACCCAACCACACACACGCACCCCCCAACCACACACACCCAACCACACACACCCAACCACACACACCCAACCACACACACCCAACCACACACACCCAACCACACACACCCAACCACACACACCCAACCACACACACCCAACCACACACACCCAACCACACACACACCCAACCACACACACCCAACCACACACACCCAACCACACACACCCAACCACACACACCCAACCACACACACCCAACCACACACACCCAACCACACACACCCAACCAAACACACACCCAACCACACACACACCCAACCACACACACACCCAACCACAAACCTATACACGAACACACACCCACAATGACACGACCACGCACGCACACAGGTGGCGGTGCTGGCGACGATGACGGTGGAGCTCTTCGGGATGATGGGGCTCATGGGCATTCAGCTGAGCGCCGTTCCCGTCATCAACCTCGTCGCCTTCGTCGGCATGGGCGTGGAGTTCACGATGCACGTCACGCTGGTGAGGTGGGAGGGGCGGCGGAGCCTTGTCAGGTGACATGACGAGGCATCGTGCACTTGGATAAACGTCGCGACCGGGCCTCAGATGCGTCGTCGATGATTACAACGATGATGAAGTTGACGGTGACGGTGACGACGACAACATTTGGCGCCGATGGCGACGACGACAACGATGACGACAATGATGACGACGATGTCGACGATGACGGCCGTGATGGCAATGGCGATGGCACTGATGACGACGATGATGACGTCGTGCTGTCGATGGGGAGCCGCCGCCGCTGCCGCCGCTCAACCCGCGCCGTCTCCGTCCCCTCCCCTGTGCCGCCACACCGCCCAGGGCTTCCTGACGGCGACGGGCGACCGCGACAGCCGGGCTGTGCGCTCGCTGCAGCACATGCTGGCGCCCGTGCTGGACGGCGCCGTCTCCACGCTCTTGGGACTCGTCATGCTCGTCGGCTCCGAGTTCGACTTCATCGTCTGGTGAGCGAGCAAGCGAGCGAGCGAGCGGTGGTCAGGGTGACGAGGGCGGTGAGCGATGGATCGCCGGCGGTTGGGTTGGCGCGTCGAGGCGCAAGGCGGTCTTGTTGTGGCCGGGGTGAGAGCGTTAGTGGCCACGGCGAGCCCCGTTTGCGAGCGTTGCCGGGGTTGCCAGGGTGAGCAACTCACTCGCCAGCTCACAACTCCCGCCACAAACTGATGCGACGGACAAGACGATTGTGGTTTTTACGGTTCTGCTGGCAGCTGTGACTGTTGACTGCAGTGACTGTAGTGACTGTGCCGACTGTAGTGACTGTGGCGACTGCAGCGACTGTGCCGACTGCAGTGACTGTAGTGACTGTAGTGACTGTGCCGACTGCAGTGACTGTAGTGACTGTAGTGACTGTGCCGACTGCAGTGACTGTACCGACTGCAGTGACTGCAGTGACTGTGCCGACTGCAGCGACTGTACCGACTGCAGCGACTGTAGTGACTGTGGCGACTGCAGCGACTGTAGTGACTGTGGCGACTGCAGCGACTGTGCCGACTGTAGTGACTGTAGTGACTGTGCCGACTGCAGCGACTGTAGTGACTGTGCCGACTGCAGTGACTGTACCGACTGCAGTGACTGTAGTGACTGTACCGACTGTAGTGACTGTGCCGACTGCAGTGACTGTGCCGACTGCAGTGACTGTAGTGACTGTACCGACTGCAGTGACTGTAGTGACTGTACCGACTGCAGTGACTGTAGTGACTGTGCCGACTGCAGCGACTGTACCGACTGTAGTGACTGTAGTGACTGTACCGACTGCAGTGACTGTAGTGACTGTACCGACTGCAGTGACTGTAGTGACTGTGGCGATTGCAGTGACTGTGCCGACTGTAGTGACTGTAGTGACTGTGCCGACTGCAGTGACTGTACCGACTGCAGTGACTGTAGTGGCTGTGGCGACTGCAGTGACTGTGCCGACTGCAGCGACTGTGCCGACTGCAGCGACTGTACCGACTGTAGTGACTGTAGTGACTGTGCCGACTGCAGTGACTGTAGTGACTGTACCGACTGCAGTGACTGTAGTGACTGTGCCGACTGCAGTGACTGTGCCGACTGCAGCGACTGTACCGACTGTAGTGACTGTAGTGACTGCAGTGACTGTAGTGACTGCAGTGACTGTAGTGACTGTACCGACTGTAGTGACTGTGCCGACTGCAGTGACTGTAGTGACTGTACCGACTGCAGTGACTGTAGTGACTGTGCCGACTGCAGTGACTGTGCCGACTGTAGTGACTGTGCCGACTGTAGTGAGTCGAGTGACTCGCAATCTGAAGTTGGTGAGTTCAGATTCCGGGGAGGGTTGACTCAGCCCATCATCATCCCTCCCTGCGGGGATCGATAAAATAACAACCACTTTGTTGGGACGGTCAGCAGTGGTTTTCCTAGGCATAAACTCGCCCGTCATGGAAATGTGGAATTTCTACCACCGGTTTAGGGCCAGCATTGTCTGTGGTTGGCAGCAAAGGTGGTGGCAGACGCGCCCATGGTAGCGGTGGTGACGGTTGCGGTGATGGTGATTGTAGCGGTGGTGATGGTATTGGTGGCGGTAGTTCTGGCGAGCCGGGGCATGGCTCCCCCTTGGCACCGATGGGAAGGGAGTTTCACAGCGTTGGTGCGAAGATCCAACAACCCTCGCTGCTGCCTCCTCAGCGCTGGGTTACAGCTGCCACGTGCGTATCCACCACTACCTGAAGCGGCGGTGGTGATGCCGGTGGTGTTAATATTGAGCTGTGGTGGTGGTGATGATGGCCGCTGGTTGTTTGGCTTGACCCTGAGACTGGGGGGGGGTGGGAGACTGAGCAGAGGATCGCCATAAACAGTGAGGCTGTGTAAACACTGCCCCAGCGTGTTTATAGACACGTGCACGTGCACATACACACACGCGAGTGTAATATATACACACACGCACGTGCGTCGTACGCGTGTATGTGTGTGCGGCTGCGCCGTGTGCTGCGCCTGCGTATTTTTTTCCAAAAAGTAGTTGCCGAGCAAAGGCTCTAAACGTCAAGCAGCCGGCAACAAACAGCACTCTCAAGAGTTCTAATAGCGAACAGTGGAACACGTCTGTTGAATTGAGCAAGGTGATTATTGGTCTAAGAGCCTGGGGGGGGGGGGGGGGGGGGGGGGCGGGAAGAGACGATGATGACGACGATGCCGACGATGACAACAATGGGAGGAGGGAATTCCAGAGCGGAGCCGTGCGAGGGAAGAAGCCGAGAGAGAAGGGAGTGTAGGGGGAGCGGTGGCGCAGCTGTTAGGGCGCTACACTCCAAACCCAGTGAGCAGAGTTCAATTCCCGCTCACAGCCAACATCGCTGGCGATTATCTGAACCGGTCCTGGGCCCTACCCCGAGTCGACACGGCCTCAAACGAGTACCCGGCGCGATGCGGAGACAAAGGCGTGTATTGCTGGCCACCCGTCCCCCTCGTGCGCCCGTGAAGTCCTGCGTCGGTGGCTGCTACTCGCTGACGGCGGCACTTGTCCCGACAGCCTGCCGAGGCTACCGGGGGGGATCTTTGTCTGTTTGCGTGCGACCGCACGCACACGAGGGGACGCGTCTCCCCCCACGGTGTTTGTGTAAATTCAACGAAAATAAACACGGGGCCTCGGCGGCGCTCGCAACGAGCAAAATAAATTACGGCACCGGCCGCCCCGGCGCGGCCCTGCCGGGAGGCCCCGCCAGGCCCCCCTCTCTCGCCCGAGCGCAGACTCCCTGGGATAATAAACAACGCGGCCTGCGCGGCCCCCACAGACAAATAAACACGCAGCGGCTCTGCGCCGGAGGAGGAGGAGGAGGACGGCGCGGCCGCCACGGCTGCCACGGCTGCGATGGTGGTGGAGGCGGTGGAGGCGGTGGAGGCGGCCGTAACGGTGCAGCTGCACGTTGCACCGGCAACCCGGAGTTCTCCCGCTCTCTTTGTGCGCCGGCAGTAGGCACGAGCGAGCAGTTGCGGGGCTGCGCCTTTGCCCCGCGAGAGCGGGGCTGCCGGTGAGAGAGGGGCCCTAATAGTGCGGTGAAACTTGGCCTTTGTTGGGTAGGAGAGACGGGAGGGGAGGGGTGGGGGTGGGAGAGACCCCCTCCTCACCCCCTCCCTCCATTGGATGTTTATGTGACCCCCCGGGGCAGCCTGCATTGGGCAGGTCAAAGGGCAGAGGGCGCATTTGGGTGGTGGGAAGAGAGAGAGAGAGGGCGGGGGTGGAGAGAAGGAGGTGGGGGAAGGGGAGTGATTGAGAGAGGGGGGGGGAGCAGGGGGAGGGGAAAGAGGAGGGGGTGGAAGAGGAGTGATTGAGAGAGAAGAGAGAGTTTAATAATTCACTTATTTATCCAGAGAGAGGAAGAGGCAGGAGTGATGAGGGATGAGAGGGTGAGAGAGAGAGAGAGAGAAATAGTGAGGAGTGGGGAGGCAGAAAAGAGGAGAAAGAGGAGGGATGGAAGGGGGTGGTCGTGGCAGTGTTGGGGAGAGGAAGAGAGAGCGAGGGAGTGAGGAGGCCGGATCGCGTTACTCTGCACACAAACATCCCAGTGGTGCTGGAGAGAAGGCCGTGCTGCCAGGCCGTGCCACCAGGCCGTGCCACAAGGCCGTGCCACCAGGCCGTGCCACAAGGCCGTGCCACCATGCCGTGCCACAAGGCCGTGCCGCCAGGCTGGGCCGCCAGGCCGTGCCGCCAGGCCCGGCCCCCTTGCGTCAGCTCCCCGAGAGGAGGGGAGACGCTGCGAAGCGCGGGCCGAGCGCGACCACGTTTCGCGAGACCTTGTCCTCTCGTGAGCCCAGGGGCCCGGTGGTTCACGACGACGACGACGACGAATTCGCATGTCGCGGCGTCCGTGCGAAGCGTCGCGCATGGGGACGCGGGTGGAGGCCACAGACGAGGGAAGGCAGCCAGAACCGATTGCCCAAGCTCTGTGGTCCTCTTATTGGGTTACGGTCGCAAAAAAAAAATTCCCGCTGGCCGGCGACAAGCAGCACGATTGAGAGCATGACAGAGAAGAGTTTCTCGCACGACGGTTGAATCGAGCCAAGGTGATAGCGGCCAAGCGGGTCCAGTGGCCGTGCGTCCGATCTCCCGCAGCAATAGAGTGAACGCGTTCACCACGGCCAAGTCGATGGGTAGGTCGCGTGCGTCGGGGTAAAGTGTGGGTACTCGCAGCTCTTTCAGGAGGACTGGCCAACGTGGGAAGAGTCGGCCAGAAATCCTCTAATCCTACCCCTACCACTGACTCAAAACCTAACTCTCTTCACTGCTATCCCGTCACCCTACTCCTGACCCCTGACCCTTACCTCTAACCCTAAACAAAAGCACTTGCGCGGAGCCACTCCGTCAGTAACCCTCCTCCTCTCCATGTGTCTCCATCTCCCCCTTGTGTCTCTCTCTCTGTCTCTCTGTCTCTCTCTTTGTCTCCGTCGCGCTCGTCTCCGGACAGACGGCCTGCAAGGACAGGTAATTGGCACTCGCCGTGGGTTTGTGTCAGCAAATGTGCTCGCATCTGTGGCTCTCGGGTCCCTGGCTGTCGTGTCCCTATCTCTCGTGTCCGTGTCTCTTGTCCCTGGGTCTCTCGTGTCCCTGTCTCTCGTGTCCCTGGGTCTCGTGTCCGTGTGTCTCGTGTCCCTGGCTCTCGTGTCCGTGTCTCGTGTCCCTGGGTCTCTCGTGTCCCTGTCTCTCGTGTCCGTGTCTCGTGTCCGTGTGTCTCGTGTCCGTGTGTCTCGTGTCCGTGTCTCGTGTCCGTGTGTCTCGTGTCCGTGTGTCTCGTGTCCGTGTGTCTCGTGTCCGTGGGTCTCGTGTCCCTGGGTCTCGTGTCCGTGTGTCTCGTGTCCGTGTGTCTCGTGTCCCTGGCTCTCGTGTCCCTGGCTCTCGTGTCCGTGTGTCTCGTGTCCCTGGCTCTCGTGTCCGTGTGTCTCGTGTCCGTGTGTCTCGTGTCCGTGTGTCTCGTGTCCCTGGGTCTCGTGTCCCTGGGTCTCGTGTCCGTGTCTCGTGTCCGTGTCTCGTGTCCGTGTGTCTCGTGTCCGTGTCTCTCGTGTCCCTGGGTCTCGTGTCCCTGGGTCTCTCGTGTCCCTGGCTCTCGTGTCCGTGTCTCGTGTCCCTGGCTCTCGTGTCCCTGGGTCTCGTGTCCGTGTGTCTCGTGTCCCTGGGTCTCGTGTCCGTGTGTCTCGTGTCCCTGGGTCTCGTGTCCGTGTCTCGTGTCCATGTGTCTCGTGTCCCTGGGTCTCGTGTCCGTGTGTCTCGTGTCCCTGGGTCTCGTGTCCGTGTCTCGTGTCCCTGGGTCTCGTGTCCGTGTGTCTCGTGTCCGTGTGTCTCGTGTCCCTGGGTCTCGTGTCCCTGTCTCTCGTGTCCGTGTCTCGTGTCCCTGGGTCTCGTGTCCGTGTGTCTCGTGTCCCTGTCTCTCGTGTCCATAGCTCTTTCTCCTCGCTGCTCCATTTTTTGTTTTTATTTTCCCCTGCAGCTTCCATAAAACACGGAACCTGCTTGGTTGCTGTGTGGTACCCGTTTGCTACCTTCCTATGTGCAGTGTGAGCGCACGTGCAAATGTGCCAGCCGCTTGGCAAGGTGGGCACAATCCTGCCCTCACAGCAACAAGGCCTGGGTTCGATTCCCAACTTGGGTGCCTTTCCGTCTGTAGTTCGTATTCTCTCCCCCCGTTCCACGTGGGTTCCCTCCGGGTTCTCCGGTTTCCTCCCATATCTAAAAAAAAAACACACACACGCACAGTGGCATTGGCGTGGGCCAACGCATCGAGCCAATGCTGATAAATAACCTGCAAATTCCTGAGTTGGTATCATACATTGCAATATCACTCCCTACTGTGAATATCTGTCAGAAGCCTCCTGAAATGAGCCTTGAGACTCTGTGAGGCCTTCCCGGATGAAGAGGCATGATCGTCATCATAATGACTCCGTGTGTGTGCCTGGGAGCGGTAATGTTTTGGGGAGCGGTGGCGCGGAGGTTAGCACACCGCGCCACGAACCCGGCGATCTGAGTCCGGTTCTGCACGCTGCCAACATCGGTGACGATTTCATATGCCGCTTCTGGGCCTCGCCTAGGTCGACTCAGCCGTAAATGAGTGAGATTACGCCGTATGCAAAAAAAAACTTCCACACCGGGGAGACAAAGACAGCCGGGCGTGGTGCTGGCCACACGCCTACCCATAGGCCTTAATAGGTGCTCGCCAACAAGACTTGCCCCCAGAGCCCGCGTGGGCCGCACGGGGGACCTCCGTCTCACGGAGGCTCTCTGCTGCAGGTACTTCTTCGCGGTGCTCACCATCATGACGGTGCTCGGTCTGCTCAACGGCATCGTGCTGCTCCCCGTGCTCCTCTCCATCGTGGGGCCTCCGCCGGAGGTGAGGCCACGCACGCCGGCTTGGGACGCACTGAGGGCCCGGCCTGCTCGGGGAGACTCACACAGAGTCCACCAGTCACCCGTTCTCACACAGAGTCCACCAGTCACCCGTCCTCACACAGAGTCCACCAGTCACCCGTCCTCACACAGAGTCCACCAATCACCCGTTCTCACACAGAGTCCACCAATCACCCGTTCTCACACAGAGTCCACCAGTCACCCATTCTCACACAGAGTCCACCAATCACCCGTTCTCACACAGAGTCCACCAATCACCCGTTCTCACACAGAGTCCACCAGTCACCCGTTCTCACACAGAGTCCACCAGTCACCCGTTCTCACACAGAGTCCACCAATCACCCGTTCTCACACAGAGTCCACCAGTCACCCGTTCTCACACAGAGTCCACCAGTCACCCGTTCTCACACAGAGTCCACCAATCACCCGTTCTCACACAGAGTCCACCAGTCACCCGTTCTCACACAGAGTCCACCAATCACCCGTTCTCACACAGAGTCCACCAATCACCCGTTCTCACACAGAGTCCACCAGTCACCCATTCTCACACAGTCTACCAATCACCCGTTCTCACACAGAGTCCACCAATCACCCGTTCTCACACAGAGTCCACCAATCACCCGTTCTCACACAGAGTCCACCAATCACCCGTTCTCACACAGAGTCCACCAATCACCCGTTCTCACACAGTCTACCAGTCACCCGTTCTCACACAGAGTCTACCAATCACCCGTTCACACACAGAGTCCACCAATCACCCGTTCTCACACAGAGTCCACCAGTCACCCGTTCTCACACAGAGTCCACCAATCACCCGTTCTCACACAGAGTCTACCAATCACCCGTTCACACACAGAGTCCACCAATCACCCGTTCTCACACAGAGTCCACCAATCACCCGTTCTCACACAGAGTCCACCAATCACCCGTTCTCACACAGTCCACCAATCACCCGTTCTCACACAGAGTCCACCAATCACCCGTTCTCACACAGAGTCTACCAGTCACCCGTTCTCACACAGAGTCCACCAATCACCCGTTCTCACACAGAGTCCACCAATCACCCGTTCTCACCCAGAGTCTACCAATCACCCGTTCACACACAGAGTCCACCAATCACCCGTTCTCACACAGAGTCCACCAGTCACCCGTTCTCACCCAGAGTCCACCAATCACCCGTTCTCACACAGAGTCCACCAGTCACCCGTTCTCACACAGAGTCCACCAATCACTCGTTCTCACAGAGTCCACCAGTCACCCGTTCTCACACAGAGTCCACCAATCACCCATCCTCACACAGAGTCCACCAATCACCCGTTCTCACAGAGAGTCCACCAGTCACCCGTTCTCACACAGAGTCCACCAATCACCCGTTCTCACACAGAGTCCACCAGTCACCCGTTCTCACACAGAGTCCACCAGTCACCCGTTCTCACACAGAGTCCACCAATGACCCGTTCTCACACAGAGTCCACCAGTCACCCGTTCTCACACAGAGTCCACCAATCACCCGTTCTCACCCAGAGTCCACCAGTCACCCGTTCTCACACAGAGTCCACCAATCACCCGTTCTCACCCAGAGTCCACCAGTCACCCGTTCTCACAACGGCTAATTCACTCAGAAATGAATCTCCTATCGTTGGCTCTTCATCGGCCATTTAAATTATCATCGCGATGAATAACCATTTGCGTTGTTCCGCCTGTGTTTGCGCGTGTGTGTGCTTGTGGCAAGTGGTAGTGTAGTGGTTGGAGTGGTGCGCTACGAACCAACAGCCTGTTGAGGCTACTGGGGAGGGTCTTTGTCTTTGTACGTGCGTGCACACGTGCGTGTACACGTGTGTACACACATGAACACGCGCGTGTACACGTGTGTACACACATGAACACGCACGTGTACACGTGTGTACACACGTGTACACGCACGTGTACACGTGTGTACACACATGAACACGTGCGTGTACACGTGTGTACACACATGAACACGCGCGTGTACGTGTGCGCACGCGATCGCGTCCCCAGGTGACCCCTGCCGGCGGCGGCAGCCGTCTCCCGACGCCATCGCCGCAGCCGCCCCCCTACCCAGCGAGACGCGGGCGCGGCGGCGACGCCGGCGGGGGCAACTCCGGGCGGCGCCCGCCGTTCCCTCCGCCGTACCCGGGGCTCGGCGCGCGGCACGCCCGCCCCGGCGAGTCGTCCGCCGCCACCACCACCGGCACCACCCCCTCCTCCTCCTCCATTACCGAGTCCTCCGACTCGGAGTGCTGCTCCGAGAGCGCCGCGTCGCTATCGACGTCGCCCGGCGAAAACGCCGCCGCCGGCGCCTCCTGCGCCGCGGGCAACGCTTGCCGGCACGGACACCACGACCACAATCACCACCACCACCGCCGCCACCACCAGCAGCAGCAGCAGCAGCAACAACAGCAGCAGCAGCAGCAACATCGGTTGCATCAAGTGCGAGAGCACGATTATCACCATCAGCAGCAGCAGCATCAGCAGCAGCATCAGCAGAGGCCGCATGCGGGGAGCGGTGGTGGACGCCGGGCGGGACACCCGCGCGTCACGGTGAGCCGCCCCGGGGCACGCGCCGCGCCTTACCGCGTTCCACTGCTTCGGTGTTGCCGTTTCCGTTTCGTGCGCGTTGGGTTCCGCTCGAGAGCTCCAGAGGGCGGGATGGGGTGGCACCGATCCAGGGTGCCGCAAATAGAGATCACGGCACAAACAACCGAATAAAAATCACAGCTCTGAGCACCAATTCCACATTCCTATGACAGCGGCTAACCTCACCTCTCCAACCCCATGCACGTTCCACATGTGCGCGTGCGTATTTCTGTGCGTGCGTGTGTGTACGTATTTATGTATGTACGTACTTGTGCGTGTGAGGTAGTGTGTGCGCTACTAACCTGGCGACCTGGGTTCGATTCCCGCTCACGGCCAACACCGATGACGATTTTCTGAACCGGTTCTGGGCCTTCCCTAGGTCGACTCAGCCTCAAATGAGTACCTGGTGCGATGCGTAAACATCGCCACTGGGGAGACAAAGGCGGCCGGGCGTGGTGTTGGCCACCCACCCCCTCGTGTGCCGTGCCGGCCTTTATAGGTGCTCGTAAACAGCACTTGCCCCTACAGTCTGTTAAGGCTATACGGGGAATCTTTGTCTTTTGAGGTAGTGTGCACCTAGCATGGTACAAGTGCCGTGGTGACGTCACTAGCACTTAGTGGTGAACGGCGGTTATTGTTGTGAGGTAGTGTAGCAATCAGCGTGCTGTAGCAACTAACGAATTCGATTCCCCCCCCCTTATTATCTGAACCAGTCCTCGGGCCTACACTGTGTATGTATGAATCTTTGTCTTTTCTTTGTAGTTCGTGCAGCCTGCGGGACAGTGCCTGGAGATGGGCGCCATGCAGTACAGGGCCCGGCCTAGGCCAAGGCCTCAGCAGGAGCAGCAGCAGCAGCACGGCGGAGTGGCATCGGCGGACTGCACAGCACCACTGCAGCAGCAGCAGTGGGCGTCACGGCCGGCGCGCTTCCACGGCCGCTCGGGCGCGGACAGCACCGATTCGCCGCACGCCGGGCCCGGCCGCGGCAGGACTAGCGGCCAACAAGCCTGGGGCGAAGGCCGCGGCCACCGGGCCGGGGCGACGGCGCCGGCCGGGCCGTTTGCCACCGTGACGGCCACCACGTCGGTGACGGTGGCGCTCTTGAGGCCGGGCGCGGGGTCGGCGGCGCCGGCCGCGCCGGCGGCGTCGGCGGCGCCTTTCGCGGGAGACCCCCACGTGCCCGCGTACGACGCCGGCGAGTGCGACTCGGACTGCGGGCGCCGCTGCCGCCGCCACAACCGCCACAAGTAGCGGCGAGGAGGAGGGGGGGCCCCGTGCTCAAATGACGCCGACCGTAGCAATAATTGTAACGTGAGAGTAAATATTATATCGGGGTGCGGTGGGTGGGGGTGGGGGGGGGGGGGGGGGGGTGGGGGTGTTTGTACATATTTTTACTTCACGCGAAATGTACAAACGTTGAAGCGGAGGGTTGGAGACGGGAGAGAGGGAGCCTCCGAGTAAATCACTGCCACTGAAGCCGACCGCCGCCGTGCCCGCAGCGCGTTGGAGCGGTCGCTCGCTGAGCGACGCGTCGCCGGGTTAGCGCCCGGTCACGAGAAATGTCGCTCGCTCGCCACGTGACGTCCGACGGATTATTCGCGACCGGTGGACACGTTGGCGCGACGAATATTAAGTCTACAACTGCGTTTAAATGTATTTGCGTGTTTTGTTGTTAATGTTTCACTGGCATGCTGCTACACAATATCAGCGCTGTATTAAAAAAAAAACAGAAACTTATTTTTTAGGTAAAAAAAAAGGAAAAAAACTTTTTGAAGAAAAAAAACAGACGTGAACGATTCGATGCGACCGCGTGTCGCAGTGGAAATGAAGGAATGTAAGCGGTGGTGGCGGCAGGGCGGTACAGACGTCGTACAGACGTCGTGTTCGGTCTCTGGCAGCTTGTTCAGTGTCGCGCGGTTCGGAGCCACGCGACGTTTATTTATCATTTTATAACTTTACAAAAACAGAATGTCGGCTTATTCCCGCGATGGTGATGATGATGATGATTATTACAAACGCTCCACGGAGCGACGGCGAGACCTCCGCTCGCGTCCGACGCTCGCCTAGCGTGGAGCGTTTTTATTTTACATTTTTAACCCAGTGGATACGTCTCTTGTCGTAAATACGTGCCTATTTATACGCGATCTCGTTATACGAAGGCAAAGATGCAGTATTGTGTTGGCATTTTCCGTTGCGCGCTCCCCTTCGTTGGCCATTATTTTGTATTCCCGTCTCTGTCTGCGTCTCTCGCCGTGGTGCTGCGTCCATCCGGCCACCGTACGCAGCCTCCCCTGCGGTCCGGTTCCCCTCTCGGCGCTATTTCCTGTTTACAGTTCCTCGCCCCGCGGGGACCAGCGCCAGGTGGCGGGCACCATTCGCAACTCCTCGGCCGGAATTGCATTTTGACCGAAAATCAAGCGGCGGCGGCGAATCGTTAATCCCGTTCACGAGCATCCGGGCCCCCCCCCCCCCCTAAAAGACTGACCTGGGGGTTGTCACGAAAGCCCCCCCACCCGCCCACCCCTCCCGCCCCCGGCACTTGCGTCCCGACCTCGCACACTCCAGTTTTGCGAGGTTTCCGGGAAATCATTAATTTTGACGAGGGACCAGCGCTGGTTACAAGTTACAACAAAACGAGTCACCTGCACACGCCACCACTGTATTTTGGAAACCCCACGGTGAATTCTTCATAGAAATTCCTTGAATTATGAACCGCAAGCGGCGACCGAGTCCGTCGGTAACTCGTGCCTCTTTTCCACTGCGCGACCGAGGCGTGCCAGGGCTGTGCCAAACCGGCGCAGCTCACTAGAGGCGCCAGCGTGCCCTCGCCTGACGCGACACCCCACTGGAAATTATTAGCGCTGCTCCCGGCCCTGCTTGGCTCCGAGCAGTTTTCAAAGACATCTGGTAAAGCCAGCGTCTTGGGGTCTGGATCCCTGATCGGCTTGGCAGATCTGCTCCCGGGAATTCCTCCCGTGCCGTGAGGGCCCCAACGCTGGCTCGGCTCGGATTTAGCAGTGGAAAAATCAGTAGGTAAAAGTTTGGCCTCGCTTTTCCTTAATGTTTGTGTTTCCACACCCCCCCCCACCACCCGGGTATCCGTCTCTCAGATTGGAAGTTTTAAAAAACTGTTATGTGTTTGTAATGACGGGCATCGAGAAACGAACCGCAGCTCGCTGCCTTGCCCCACTTCACGCGGCAGCTTCGTTAGCGCACGGCGCGCCGCTACCAGGAGCGAGAGCTCCGTCGAAGCGCTTCCGTTCGGTGTCGTAACGATTCGCCGGGGGGGGGCCGGCCGACCGCTCGCTCGCTCGCGGTCTCCTCGCGGAGTTGCCGCCGTCCGCGGCCGGCGCGGAGCTCTCAGGGCCCCTCGGCCACCGTTCCCCCTCGCCGAGATCGCCTCTCCAGAGCCGCTGCTCGCGATGTCGCGATCATCGACGCGCGCATCGGGAAATCCCCGCGTGCCGTGCGTGTCAAGATTGCCGTGCCGTGCGTGTCAAGATTGCCGCGCGCCGTCCAAATTGGGCAACGCCACGATCGCAGCTCGCCACCGCCGCCCGAGGAGGAGGTGGCGGCCGCTTGCGAGGCCGCTTGCGAGGCCGCTTGCGGAACGCGTAGCGTTGGCGATGATGTCATCCCGACACGCCAAGCATTCTGGAAATTCCTGATGCGTGTTCGCCGTTGCAGCAAAATTAAATGTGCGTACGGTCAGCGCACACCCATCGAGACCCCAGCGGCGACCATAACTGGCACGAGAGTTGTGGTCACTTTAAGAGATGGCGGTGGGAGCGGCCCATCTTCTAACGAGAGAGCGAACCGCTAACCCATCATAAAGCTATTGGGCCACGTCCGTCTGCCTTGGCTGCACTGCGCTGGTGGCAGAAATTCCACATTCCTATGACGGGGGCGGGGGGTGGGACAGACTTGAAAGTAAACGGGGGTGGGTTTGGTGAATTGGTGAAACCAAACGGAACTGTTTGGCGGCATCTTCCTCCGTTGTCGCGGTGTGAATTCTGTCACGGAGTGGGGGATAGTGGGGGGGGGTAGCGTGCGGGTCAGGGGTCATACTCCCCCCTCCCCCCCACCACTGCATCAGAGGTCATGAACCTTCCGGACTTGACACTAACCGAGATGCTACGGTAACATTATATATAATATAAATTATTTATAACGGAAGTCTTTATTTTTGTAGTGTACAGAGTAGGTTTTTTTGTGACAGAAGTATATTTAAAAAAAGATGTCTTATATAAACAATAGTCGACTTTTATTCCTATTGTTATTGATTTGGTTGATCGTAATTGTTCATTTCTGTAACGACTAAACGCCTTTGCTACGATAGCTACTGTCTGTACGCAGGCACGCGCACTGCTGCGTCATCACATCGCTGCATCGTCACACTCCTGCATCACACCGATGCATCGTCACTCTTGCATCGTCACACTGCTGCGACGTCACACCGCTGCATCATCACACCGCTGCATCACCACACTCTTGCATCATCATACTGCTGCGTCACACCACTGCGTCACACTCCTGCATCACAGCGCTGCGTCGTCACACTCCTGCATCATACCACTGCTTCGTCACACCATTGTGTCATTGTGTCATCGAACCGCCGTGCAGCTTGATACTCCGCGTGGCGCAGCGACGCAGACGCCCCGCGTCAATTCCCAGTCCACCGCCCCTGCAAGCGGGGTCACTGTGCAAACAGAGGAGAGGTGTGGCCCGGCTGCCTCGTGCCACGTGATCGGTCTAAGCGTGCTGACGTCTTCTGATGAACCTCGAGAGCTCATCAGCAGTCCGTGGTGACCACTCGGGTCGACGATCTCCTGCCTCCTAGTTAGTCCGTGGGACTAGATCACGTGTGTTTCCCTTGTCAGTACCACGTGATAATAATAACAACAACCACAATATTGCCGTCTATCCCTCCACGTTTAACTGGGGAGAGTCTCAAGACTGCAGGAGGTGTCCTGCCACATTGGGATGTCGGGCCAAATCCACGAATGGCATCGTGTGTGCCCAGTGAGAACGATCGCCGAGTCTCGAGACTCTCGCTAGGGTGTTCAAAGATGTGTCTGGGAGCGGCATCGTCGTCGACAACAAACGAAATAAATTCCCAATTTTTTGCCCCCCAAAAAAAACCCCTGGCGGTGTGTGCCCGGTGCCCTTTCGCGCGGGCACAGCCGAAGCCGCCACCACCTCCTTCCCGCAGCGCGCAATCTCTTAAACTGTTAGGATTGCTCGAGAGTGCGGGCTCCTGCTGCTCGGACGAGCGCCGAGGCCTTGGTGCTCATCTCCTGTTTACAGCCCTTGCAGAGCCAGCGGTGGAAATTCCACATTCCTATGGTGGGAGATGGGGCGTGGGGCGAGTCCGTTGTTGACTTTTTTTTGGTCTACGAGGTGGTGCTTATTTTATCAACCCCAGAGTGTGGGATGGGTCGAGTCGGCCCTCTCACGACCAGGATGCGAACTCGCGTCGTTCCGCTCGCTCCGCCACCACCGCTGGGGCCCCCAGGCCGGACGGTGCCGCTGTGCGACGGGGGCAGTGTGCGACGAGCGGCGCCCCGGTGCTACAGGCGGTTGGGTTCGACTCCCGACTCGGGCGCCTTTGTGGAGTCGTCTGTGTGGAGTCTTTATGGAGTCTGTGTGTGGAGTCTGTGTGTGGAGTCTTTATGGAGTCTGTGTGTGGAGTCTGTGTGTGGAGTCTTTATGGAGTCTGTGTGTTCTCTCTTCCCCTGCTCTACATCGGTCTCCTCCGGTTTCTTCCTCCCGAAGCTAAAATAAAACCGTACAATGTCACCGGCATTGGTCAGACATCATCTCAGTGCTGGAAAACCACCTGCAAAATTTACTCAATTGGGATAAGTTTGTCAGGACCCTCCTGAAAACGAGTCTTAGAGGCTCGGTGAGGCTCTCCTGGCTGGGAAAAAAACGTAAATAAGTAAATGGATCTAACCTCCCGAGCAGAGTTTCCATCTGCAGCTCGGTTGATGCCTCTGTCCATACACGGCTCATGGAGCGACTACATTACCCCACCCTGCCCCCCCCCCCCCCCAAGTGTATTGAATGCGGCGTCTCACGCCCCGATAGTTGTGTGCGATGCTCGTGGGACGTCACGTCAGGAGGTCGCGTCTTCATTTTAGGCGAGCGGCCGTGAGCTCGGCCATCCCATCGCTCGAATAGCCCGGCACCCACCCACGAGCGCGCGTCATCCCCGTCCTCACGATCCCCACGGTCGCCCCGCCTGGCGGCTCGGTGAGCGACAATTGCGGCCACGCTTATTCGGCTCTCTCTTGAGTTTGGTGGTCTGGGCAAGGCTGTGGGCATGAAAGCCGTGTGGATGGCGGGGGTGG